CAGTTGGTCCAGCTGGTCCAATCGACCAACTGGCCAGTTGGTCAAGCCGGTCCCTTGGACCAACAGGCCAGTTGGTCCAGCCGATCCCTTGGACCAACAGGCCACTTGGTCCATCCGGTCCAGTGGTCCAACAGGCCAATTGTTCCAGCCGGTCCAGCAGACCAACAGGCCAGTTGGTCCAACCGGTCCATTGGACCAACAGGCCTGTTGGTCCATCCAGTCTAGCGGACCAACAGACCAGTTGGTCCAACCGGTCCCTTGGACCAACAGGACAGTTGGTCCTACAGGTCCATTGGACCAACAGGCCAGTTGGTCCAACCGGTCCATTGGACCACCAGGCAAGTTGGTCCATCTGGTCCATTGGACCAGAAGGACAGTTTGTCATCCGGTCCATTGAAGCAATAGCCAGTTGGTCCAACCGGTCCATTGGACTAACAGGTCAGTTGGTCCAGCGGTTCCATTGGACCAACAGGCCAGTTGGTCCAACCGGTCCCTTGGACCGACAGGCCAGTTGGTCCAATTAGTCCCTTTGACCAACAGGCCAATTGGTCCTTCCGGTCCAATGGACCAACAGGCCACTTGGTCCTTTAGGTCCAGTGAACCAACAGGACAGTTGGTCCAACCGGTCCAGTGGACCAACAGGCCAGTTGGTCCAGTCGGTCCATTTGATCAATAGGCCAGTTGGTCCATCCAGTCTAGTGGACCAACGGGCTAGTTGGTCAAACTGGTCCTTTGGACCAACTTCCGTTGGACCAACAGGCCGGGTTGTCCATCCGGTCCAGTGGACCAACAGGCCAATTGGTCCATCCGGTCCAGTGTACCAACAGGCCAGTTGGTCCATCCGGTCCAGTGGACCAACAGGCCAGTTGGTCCATCCGGTCCATTGGACTAACAGGCATGTTGGTCCAACCGGTCAATTGGACCACCAGGCCAGTTGGTCCAACCGGTCCATTGGACCAACATGTTAGTTGGTCCAACCAGTCCATTCGACCAACAGGCCAGTTGGTCCAACCGGTCCCTTGGACTACAAGCCAATTGGTCCAACCGGCCATTTGGTCCAACCTGCCAGTTGGTCTAACCGGCCAGTTGGTCCATCCGGTCCATTTAAGCAATAGCCAGTTGGTCCAACCCGTCCATTGGACCAACAGGACGGAAACTCCATCTGGTCCATTGGACCAACAGGCTAGTTGATCCAATCAGTCCATTGGACCAACAGGCCAGATGGTCCAACTGATCCATTGGACCGAAAGGCCAGTTGGTTGAACCGGTCCTTTGGACCAACAGGCCTGTTGGTCCAACCGGTCCATTGGACAAAAAGGCCTGTTGGTCCATCCGGTCCATTGGACCAATAGGCCAGTTGGTCCAACCTGTACCTTGGACCAACAGGACAGTTTGTCCTACCGGTCCATTGGACCAACAGGCCAGTTGGTCCAACCGGTCCACTGGACCAACAGGCGAGTTTGTCCATCCGGTCCAGTGGACCAACAGGCCAGTTGGTCCAACAGGTCCAGTGGACCAACACGCCAGTTGGTCCAATCGGTCCAGTGGACCAACAGATCAATTGGTCCAACCAGTCCATTAGACCAACGGGCGAGTTGGTCTAGTCGGTCCATTCGACCAACGGGCCAGTTGGTCCTGTCGGTCCATTGGACCAACGGGCCAGTTGGTCCATCCAGTTCATTGGACCAACAGGCCAGTTGGTCGAACCGGTCGATTGGACCAACAGGCTTGTTTGTCCAATTGGTCCATTGATCCAATAGGCAAGTCGGTCCATCCGATCAAGTGGACCAACAGGCCAGTTTGTCCAACCGGTCCAGTGGACCAACAGGCCAGTTGGTCCAACTTGTCCATTTGACCAATAGGCCAGTTGGTCCAGTCGGTCCATTGGACCAATAGGAGAGTTGGTCAAACTGGTCCTTTGGACCAACTTCCGTTGGACCAACAGGCCGGGTTGTCCATCCGGTCCAGTGGACCAACAGGCCTGTTGGTCCATCCGGTCCAACGGACCAACAGGCCAGTTGGTCCAACCGTTCTCTTGGACTACAAGCTAGTTGGTCCAACCGGTCGCTTGGACCAACAGGCCAGTTGGTCCAACCGGTCCATTGGACCAAGAGGCCAGTTGGTCCAACCGGTCCATTAGTTGGTCCAACCGGTCCATTAGTTGGTCCAACCAGTCCATTCGACCAACAGGCCAGTTGGTCCAATTGGTCCAGCGGACCAACATGCCAGTTGGTCCAACGGGTCCATTGGACCAACAGGCCAGTTGGTCCAGTCGGTCCATTGGACCAACGGGCCAGTTGGTCCAGTCGGTCCAGTGGACCAAAGGGCCAGCTGGTCCAGTCGCGGACCAACAGGCCAGTTGGTCCAACCGGTCCATTCGACCAACATGCCTGTTGGTCCATCCATGTCACCGCATATGCACTTAATGCATATGCAATAACAGTAGAATGATGGTATAGTGTGGGCTTCATACTGCAACCATGGGAAGACCAGATAGTTATAAGCGTATGAAACAGGAATAAGTAATAGGTGTAGCATGTAGCGAAGTTACTGTTAGGGAGGGGTGTAGAAGGGGGGGAATGGGATAGGAGCGGTTGGGATGAGGAGGGAAAAGGCACCGAAGGGCGAAATGTGAATCCTGGTAATCCCAACCTCGAGCCGCACATTTGGAAATGTGCAGCTCGGGGTTGGGTAAGGTCTCTCACTGCCAACCCCTCCATGCTTTCTCGCTGTAATTCTCTCGAACTAGTGAAAGTTGTTGTCTCACGCTCTAGCACACTGCAGCACGGCACTAAGAGGGAACCTACGGGGGGTAGTGGGTAAGTGAGGCTATGCAACAAGGAGAAGGAAGAAACAGGAGGGACGTAGCTCTTTCATTACAGCGAGAAAGGTCTCTAGCAGCGTAGGCGAATATGGACAAGTACGAGCTGCGCTGGGGTAGGGTGTTCAGCCGACGTGAGGAGGAGCGGCCGCGACGCGAGCCATCACGGGAACGAGGGCGGTCCTGGGAACGATCGCCGCGCCGACCCGCCTTCCGCGCGGATCGGGTCCCCTCTGCGAGGGACCGTCGAGGGGAAGGAGCAGAAGATGTGAGAGCAGGTGTCGACGGTCACGCCGGAGGCACGGATCGAAACGCGTGGCTGCGAGAGAGCGCCCGCGGGACTGGCGTGGAAGGCGGAAGCCACCGCGACGCAGGGGTATTTCACTCGCCGGAAGATCGCGGACGGCGCCGCGATGAGAGAGGTCGTTGGCGAGGATTCGAGGAACGGCCCCGGGGACGGGGAGGCAACGGCAGCGGCGACGCTCGCGAAGGGGGCTCGCAAGAGAACGCAGCTCAGGAGGTGACACAGGAGCGGGACGCGGAAGAAGCTGAGAGGAACCAAGGGCTGCCGGTCGAGGAGGCGGATGGAGAAGACATGTACTCACCTCTTGCCTAGTTCAATCATTCATTCCTAGTTCTATTCTTGACATGTTATCAGAGTAGGAACCGTTCCTACATGGGCCCACCGTTCCGCCTAGTGGTAGCGCCACGCCCTACACAGTAGCCAGCGCGCTGGCGCCCCTAGCTCTCACTGTCGCGACCCTTGCAGCCCGTGCGCTGCCCCTGCGACCGCGCTGCCCCTGCAGCCGTGCTCGCCCCTACGACCGGGCTGCCCCTGCAGCCGTGCTCGCCCCTGCTACCGTGCTGCCCCTGCAGCCGCGCCTGCCCCTGTGGCCCGCGCGCTGCCCCTGCAGCCCGTACGTCGCTCCTGCAGCCCGTACGTCGCCCCTGCAGCCCGTTCACGCTGCTCCTGCAGCCCGTTCACGCTGCTCCTGCAGCCCGTTCACGCTGCCCCTGCAGCCCGTTCACGCTGCTCCTGCAGCCCGTTCACGCTGCCCCTGCAGCCCGTTCACGCTGCTCCTGCAGCCCGTTCACGCTGCCCCTGCAGCCCGTTCACGCTGCCCCTGCAGCCCGTTCACGCTGCCCCTGCAGCCCGTTCACGCTGCCCCTGCAGCCCGTTCACGCTGCCCCTGCAGCCCGTTCACGCTGCCCCTGCAGCCCGTTCACGCTGCCCCTGCAGCCCGCGCGCAGACCTACCGAGCCGCGCGTCGCCTCTGCAGCCCGGCATTTTGGCGGGATTTTTCGGAAGTTCAAACGTCATCACCCATGGTCGTTTCTTGTAACGGATTCGAATTCATGTTCTTTTGGAAAACCTATGGTAAGAAAGCCCTTCTCTAGAGTTCCTCCTCATTTCCCCTACATTTTTGGTAAGACCCCGGGGTCTTAGGGCATGTTCCTACGGCAAGGATATGACGGTAGTTAATGTTTACTGAAGAAATACTTTGCACCACATTCACCAAGGGGAAGAAATATTCTAAGCGAAATGAAAGTTTAAAGCCCGAGTCTAGAATGGTAGTTTTCCAAAAATATTGGACTTGGAAAGTTGTAAGCGAGCTTTAGCGAGAGATATTTCGTATATTCTGGCTGGGCGAACGCGAAAACAGTCCACGAGGAATTTCGGGGGTCGCCACAGCGAACACTGCACTGGAAACACTGCGCTCGCCACAGTGAACAGTGCGCTCGCCACAGAAAACACTGTGCTTGCAACAAGAAACACTGCGCTCGCCAACAGAAAACTCTGCGCTTGCCACAAGAAACACTGCGCAAGTAACACATTTAGGACTCTTCAAAAGTCTATGGCACAAATACAAAATTAGAACACAAGATTACACGAAATACATACGTAAGTAGTCAAATGAGTAATCATAGAGTCGACGGAATTATTGGCTACGACAAACACAAACAGATCACGAGCTTATGCGAGTCAACCTGAGAAAGTCACCACAACACCGATTTTTCTTTGTCTTGATCATATCATCCCCCTTTGAGGTGCTGCCTCAAATCCTGAGTAGGGAGAGGACGACAAGCAGTGCAAGGAGAGATGGAAAAGGAACACAGAGGGACAGTGTGGATGGGTTGCAACACAGGAATTTGCAAAAGAAACTGGGACAAGGCATGATCATGGGAAGATGGAGGCGAGAGGAAGGACAAGGGGGGGGACGAGAGGACGAAAACAGGAGATGGGCTGAGAGGAAAAGGGTTTGAGGGTAACTGAGAGGGAAAGGAGGAAAGGGGTTGATACAGATACGAGAGGGCAGAGAGGGGAGGGAGGAGGGGAGGGGCTGCGACGGGTCGGGAGGATATTGCCTGAGAGGGATTGGAGGAGATGGGCGGACGGGAAATGGGGAAATGAGATGGAGGGAAGGGCGGCACGGGGCATGGAAGGGAGGAGAGGGGCAGAGACGGAAGGAAGGCATGGGGCTGAGAGGGAAGGAGGAGTAGGGCAGATGGATGAGGGACTGAGGGGGTGGAAAGAGAAAGGGAGAGTTAAGGGTGAAGTGAGGCAGAGAGGGAAAGGAAGGGAGTGGAAACGCGGTAATCATGAGTGAGTAATGGGTGTGAGTGAGCAATGGGAGAGATGAAGTGACAGAAGAGAGGGAGGGGAGTGGCGGAAAAGGGATGGATGGAAGTAGGAAAGAGGGAACAGAAGAGGGGGGGAGATTGGGAAAGGGGGGGGGCTTGGAGGGTTGGAAACAGCGAGATGGGAAGGGAGAAGCCGCGTAAAGAAGGGTGAATGCTGCGCGTAGGGCAAGGGGAAATCGAGGGACGGACGCGATGGAACGGACGGTAGCGACGGGAGGAAGCGACGCGAAGCAACAACAAGGAGGGGAAACGGAGGGAAGGGCACGAGGAAAGGGAGGGAAGGGACATGGGGGGTTGCCATGTGTGGACGGAGCGTTCGTTCGAGCGACGGGCGGGAAGAGAACGACAGGAGCGAATGCGGGACTGAAGCGAGGGGTGGGACGGAAGGTGTTGGGCGACGGGAGGGACGGCGGAACGGGATTGGGTGTGTGAGCGACGGGATTGTGTGAGTGAGCGACGGGATTGAGTGAGCGAGCGACGGGATTGAGTGGGCGAGCGACGGGATTGAGTGAGCGAGCGACGGGATTGAGTGAGCGAGCGACGGGATTGAGTGAGCGAGCGACGGGATTGAGTGTGTGAGCGACGTGAGTTAGTGAGCGAAGGGTGTTAGTGAGCGACAGGATTGAGTGTGGGTCGGGAGTGACTGTCGAGGTGTCATAGCCGATTTCGCTATTGGCTATGCGAGTGTCGGCTAACGCGATATAACCGTCAGTAGCGACGAGTGATTCTTACGATGGCGATCAATCGAGGCTTCATTCTGTATTTGCGGAAGGCTACCATATCGTACTTGTTATGCGCGGAAAAGTCGACGGGAAGGGCCGTCTCTATGTGCTACTAAAGTCTTAGCTTAGTACGGAGATGGGCGTAACTATGCTTGGCTGACGACGAGAACTAGGGCTATGGAGCCCACTATGCTACGAGTCTAGAAAGGTATTCTCGAGTTTCAAGTTCTGAAAGTGTGAACAGTGTTACTTGTTCTTGTTTGTTTCTGCGAGGCTCGTCGCTGATTTTGCTGTGGAGCATTTGGCCAATCACCTTCTGGCCCACCAACTCCCTTCTCGGTGGGTCGCGAGGGAGAAGCTTTCTCAACCTGGTTACCCTGTTCTTAACGAACTCAAGTTCAAGAATCTTGAAGTTGAACCCTTACCATTCTAGACTCGGGCTTTAAGGTGAATGCCATGGCAAATCTCCTGGTACATGACGTCCACTAAACAAGTGGATAATGGTCAACCAGCAGGGGCTGGAGCTGCCAAACTTGGAAAGGCTTGCTGTGGCTGCAGGGGTAGTGGGGGAAAACCCCGAAGCAGGGAGGCGAGGGATGGAGGTAGAAGAACACTTCCTGAAACAGTTACAGGTGGGGGTGGTGATCGTGGAGCAGCAACAGGTGAACCACTTGGTACTGCCGAGGGAGGTTGAACCACAGGCCCTGGTGGCGGTGGTGGGGTCCCTGAAACAGTTACAAGTGAAGGTGGAGATGATGGAGCAGCAGCAGGTGAACCACTTGGTGCTGCCGAGGGAGGCTGAACCACGGGCTCTGGTGGTGGTGGTGGGGTCCCTGCAACAAGGATAAGAAACAGCACTTAGACCCAATCAACATAAGGAATCATATATCGTCTCACAAAGCCTTAGAACTTACCCAAATAGCAAGTGTAAGGGTATGTTGGGGCTGGTGGAACCTGATCAAACTTCACCCTGTAGCCCAGCTGATGAGTCAAGTTCCCAGCCCCTTGAGGCAGGGGGCCAAGCCACTGACAAGCATCAATGAAGCTATAGGAGATGAACGGCTGTGCCTGAGAGGTGTTGAGGACATGGCTCCAGGGCACCCATCCGCTTGTATTTGTTCCGGGTCCCCAACAGTCAAACTAGAAGAAGAAGCAGGGGTTAATTTCGATTCAGAAAAAAAAAAAACAGAAGTAAAAGAGTACTCTGATGGACGGGTCATCACTTACCATGGCAAAGAAGGTGGTGTTGTGTCTGGATGCATCACCCCAGTCATACCAGGCTCCGTTTTGTACAATGTTACTGATATATGACCAAGCATATACTGTCCTACTCGCATTTCCCCAAGCCCTTCCCAGGTAAACCTGAAATTAACGATTACGAAGTGCAAGTTATTCAGTTGCAGTTACAAAGACGCTATGCAGCTCATCAATCTACTCACCCGACCGTTCCCTGTGATGATGCTGCGAACGAATACGAAGCCAGACCGCTTAGTCGTCGACCTCCTATACTGCGCTGCCACTGCTCCGCCATGCTTCCTGGCTTTGGCATAGAAAACGCATCCCTGAGGTGATAGGCATGGTTAGAAATCCAAGATAGGAGCAAAAAACCTTCAATCAACAGGAGAGTTACCTCATACACGGATGTTGCATCGCCAAAGACAAAATCAATATTCCCTTCAATGTAGCAGTCGCGGAAGTAGTGAAGACCCCGCGAAACTCAACAAGAGCTTTCAGAAAACCATAACATTTACAGCAAGAAGTTGCACACGAAGGCATTGTGCAGAGTGCTTACCTTGTGATCATAGAGGGTGTCCTGCCATCCAATGAAACGGCAGCTATAGAATGCAGCCATTGTGCCGGAGATGCGGAGGGCTACCGCCATAGGACCATTGGCTGTCTCGTTGCTGAGCGGCGGTGGTGGAGGCGCTGAGTTCTGTAAGGTATAAAAGAGCGTCAGGAAAACCGCAATGAAGATGCCATCTAAACAATATCACAAGCGGAGACGGAAGAAATCTGACCTGAAAGGTGATGTTGAAGGCAACGAAGTTGTTGGCTTCAACGCAGACTGAGCAGGACCATAGAGTTCCCAAAACGTATCCGTTGGCCATCTCTCTTGCCGTGTAGTCATCGTAGGTGATGATGGTTTCCAACGGGTTGGACCCACGGAGCATTATGCTCACTTTGGACTTTGAAATCAAGACCTTCTCCCTGTGTCACTTGCTCGGTCAAACATCCCCAATGAAAGTGCGAATTTTACTATTCAAACAGTGAAACACACCCTACCTATATGTTCCTGGTAGTATATCGATAACTGCGTGCGACGTCGTACCCGTCGAGGACACATAGTCCACTGCGTCTTGCACGGACGTGAAGTTGCCAGTACCATCGGTTGAGACGACAACACTAGCTGCTGGATAAGCGTTCCAGACATTCTCCGGCGACATAACATATTTGTTTTGCAGTAAGGGGGAGTCCAACAACTCGTAGATCGAAGTCTTTGCCCCATGAGCCAAGCACGCTCCTGAAAAACGCGGGACGAGGAATTAAACGCTGACCTTTCCCGAAGCAAAAAACTACTTACTAAGGCTGTCTAATTTCGTACCAAAAAGGACGAGCAGGAACGTCAACATGCTCTCCAGGGTGCGGTTTTCAAGTGGCATGACGACGGTGAGCGGCAAGACTGTATTCGTGCGAAGCAAGGGAGATCGAATGACTAATCAACTTGCTCGTTCTTCGCCTTGACTTTACAAGTTCAATACGACTTCTCAAGAGGACTTATAGGACGAGATATTGCATCGCGGAATCAGTCGTTCGAAGGACGAAACGAGGAGCTCGAGAGGTTCGTCGCCATGGAACCTGACGATGGGCAGTGATTACCCTGAGATTGCATTTCGACTTACGGTTCTCGTGATGAGCATCACGCTTCTGCGTAGGGTTCGGGCCCAACTGAAGTTTTGAAATTCAAGGTCTTGAATGCAAATCTTGAACCTAGATCAAACCTAGAGGAGTAACATACTGTAACCATCGGATCCTCCTCCCCTTCCCCTCGTCTCCGGTTCCCCCCTTCAAACCCCCCCACACTCCGTCCCACCCACCCCCAACCAAGTTCGCCGACGGGAAATCCAAACGGAATGTTGACGATAACCATATTCGTGGTGGTGACTCGCTGACGGAATCTGTCTCGGAAAGACGAACCAAACCCGCCCCAGGTTCGGGAAGGGTCGTGTGAGGTTTGCTCTACGAAAACGTAATGCTTCGCTTTTCTTGGTAACGCAGGGTCTGCGCCCAATATCGCGAGTCGAAAGTCGGTTTCGTACGGTGACAAAAAATTATGGTGCATTTGAGTGCGGCAAAGGGACCAAATATCGCGCACCTCCAGCGAAACATGCGAAATCTTACTTGCCACTTCCCAGGTCGCGCATGTTTGTCAATCGTGACTCTCCGTTCCGTTCCCATTAAATTCGCCCTGGACACATCCCACCTTGCTAGTTTCCGTTCCTTCTCTTCCGCTACGCCTCGTTTCTCCGCGAGGCGCGGTCGTCACGGTGACGCCAGCCCGTGCTTCCGCAAACACCGCGACTCGAGCCGAGATCGGCAGTGGTAAGCAGCATTGGTCCGTCGGGACCTAGTTGTGAGAAGCAATCGCTGCGGTGACTTTTGAGTGACTTTTGAGTCGACGTCTCGAGTCTCGTGAGCAGCAATTTCATGCGCTATGCGCGGCGGCGCCAGGTCGTGCCACCGCGTATACCGCTGGCTCGTTCTCCGAGACGCGCTCTCCGCCCCGCCTGACATCCTTCCTGCACTCGCATCTCACTCCCTTCCTCCCTCCCCTCATCCGCCGCTCTTTCCGCCGATTGCGCACACCGTCATTGCGGCCTCGACGAGCACCGCCTTTGAGGCATCTCAAAGTCCGACGTCGCGCAATGCCTTTGCCTCTAGTATCAGTACCGCATCCCGGCCGTCCACGTGGATTGCCGAACACGTCAGCAACAGCAGCACTTACATCCCCGGGGCGGCCGATTTTCGTTTTCGGGGGCTCCAAAGCGGCATCTGCGGCGGCGGAGGCGGAGGCTATGATCGGCGGTACGGCGGAACGCAGCAGACGCGCGGATATGCCCAGCAGGCGGGGGGAGGGAGACCGCGCACGCCAATGGCGGTGCCGTTCCAGGTGACACCTGAGGAGGCCCGGGCTCTGTTGCGAGAACACCTGACGGGGCACCTGCTGGCGCCCGCCATTGCTGACGTGGACTCGTCTATGGCTCTCGCTGCCGTCTTCCAACCTTTCTGGACCTTCGCTGCTGACGGTGGGTGCATGGGTTGGGGGGGGAAGGGGGTGTGGTGTGGGCAGACGAGGGTATGGATTTGGCCGTGTGTGTGTGTGTGTGCGAGTGTGTGCGTGCGTGCGTGCGTGCGTGCGTGCGTGCGTGCGTGTGTGTGCACGAGTGTGTGTATGTGTGCACATGCATGCGTCTGCACGCGTGTGTGTGTGTGCGTGCATGCGCGTGCATGCGTGCGTGCGTGCGTGCGTGAGTGCGTGTGTGTGTGTGTGTGTGTGTGTGTGTGTGTGTGTGTGTGCGTGCGCGTGTGTGTGTGCACGAGTGTGTGTATGTGTGCACATGCATACGTCTGCGCGCGTGTGTGTATGTGTGTGTGTGTGCGTGCATGCGTGCGCGTGTGCGCGCGTGCGTGTGTGCGTGTGTGCATGTGTCTGCGCCTGTGCATTATACTGTAATTGTCACGTCATCGGTGCGCCTTTGCTCGCTATTCTCCTCTTCACTCTCCCCTCCTCACTACCTGCTCTTCCCTCCTCCTCTCCTCCCTTCCTCCTCCCTCCCTCCTCCCTCCCTCCGTGCACGCACACACCCATTGGAGCTAGGTGCGGAGGAGGCTTTATCTGCCATGCCATGCCGTGCCATGCCATGCCATGCCATGCCGTGCCATGCCATGCCATGCCATGCCATGCCATGCCATGCCGTGCCGTGCCATGCCGTGCCGTGCCATGACGTGCCACAGCACCTGTCCCCTCCGTGTCACACTTTCCCCTCTGCCCACCTACTCGTGTGCGCCCACACCAGGGGAAGCATTGCACAGGGCGGGTGTGGGGAGGCGTTATCTGCCATGGCAGTGAAGTGAACATTGAACCCATCCACACGCCCCTGATTGACTCACCTTGTTATCCGCGCCGTATCTTGTACCCCCTATCCCATGTGCGCAGCGCGCTCGTGAGCATGTGCATGTGCGGGGCAGCTGTTGTCTACCATGGCTTCATTGTCCTGAACCCAAACCCCTCTGAATGATTCTCCTTGTTATCCTCCACCGTATCTCAACTTTTACCCCGAATCCCCTGTTCGCTCGTGTTAATGCTCATGGGCATGTTGGTCATGGGTATATCCTTGAGCATGGGCACGGGCATGGGCATGGGCATGGGCATGGGCATGTTCACGGGTATGCTGATGATGGCAGTGGAAGTGGCATACAGGGCGAATGTGGGGAAGGCGTCATCTGCCATGGCTTGGAACCCTTACAGCCGGCGATGGGAGCAGGTGAGTCACGAACCGGGGGGCTAATACATGGGATGGAGATAAGATGAGGAGGAGGAGAATGACATGAGGAGGAGTAGCAAGAGGGTTTGGAGCATGAGGAGCAATGAGGGGGGAGAGACGGGAGTGGGGGGAGGAAGGAATGGGGGGAAGGGAAGGGAAGGGTAGGGAAGGGAAGGGAAGGGGAGGGGAGGGGAGGGGAGGGGAGGGGAGGGGAGGGGAGGGGAGGGGAGGGGAGGGGAGGGGAGGGGAGGGGAGGGGAGGGGAGGGAAGGGAAGGTCTGCTCGCACCACACGCTTCACCAGCCACTCTCCTGCTCACGTCCGCTCCCTCCCTCTTTCTCCTTTCCACCCTCTCTCCCCTCCTCCCACTCTCCCTTCCACGCTCTCGTCCCTCCACTCCACCTATCTCGCCGTCCCTCCCTCGTCTAACACCTGCACAACACACCCCTTCGCTGTGCTCTCCTCTCGTTGCTCTCCCTTTCGGCGCTTCCTCCTCTGTTCCATCCGCCCTCGCCTTCCCATCCCACTTCTCCTGCTCTCACCTCTATTTCCGCCCTCTTTTCCTCCGTGCCCACCTCCTCCCCTACCTCCGTCCACTTTATCTCAGTCTCTAGCACATCTTTCTCAGCCTCCTCCCTCTCCCCCTCTCCCTCGCCCTTCCCCCCACCAATCCCCACCACATACTGCTGGGGCAGGCCACCCCTGGTTCTCTTCCTGCTAGTTTTCCTGTTCCCTCTTTCTGTCCCGCCTTCTCTCCCCTTTCTCCTCACCTCCCTCTTCCCCCCTGTTCCACACTCTCCCCCGTCCCCCCCCCCTTCTCCCTCCCCCCAACCAGCATCGCCACACTGTATGGCAGGCCACCCCGTGGCTCTCTCGCCCCCTGCAAGCCCCCTCCACCGACCCTCTCATGCAGCTCTACGCTGCCACCAGGTGCAGTGCGGTTCTGCTCGGTGCTGCATGGTGCTAATTGTTGCTGTATGGTGCAACCAGGTTCAGTGCGGTGCAGAGCGGTGCTCTCTCGCCCGCTGCAAGCACCCTCCACCGACCCCATCATGCAGCTCTACGCTGCCACCAGGTACAGTGCGGTGGAGAGTGATGATACATGGTGTTATTGCTACAGAGCCATCATGTTTCCCCTTTCTCCTTTCGCCTTTCGGTGCCCTCCCCACTCTGCTTGACTTACTTTTCCTCCCTCTCTCCTATTGCATTACTCTCATCCCTTCCTCATTCCTCCTTTCTCGTCCCTATTATTCTCCCCTCCTTTCCCTCCCTCTCTTTTCTCCCCACTCCCCCCTCCCTCCCTCGTCCATTCTCCTGCCACCCACGCACCCTGCTGCAAGTGCTAGCTGGCGAGATTATAATGCACCAACCTCTCTACCTGCGGCCCTCATTACCCCTTTCCGTTTTCTTCCCTACCCGCCTCTTCCATTCACTTTCCACTCTCCCCCATCTCCTCTCCGTCTGCCCCGCAGTCTGGGGCAAGTGATGGCCGGCGATCCCCCACAGTCTGGTGCAGCGCAAGTGCTAGCAGGCGATGCAATCAACTACCAACAGGTCGACTCAAAAGTCACCCTGCAGTCTGGCGCAAGTGCTGGCAGGCCACGCCATCAACCACCAACGCCTCTCAACCATCCCCTCCCTCCCTTCTTCCCTTCGCCTTTCCCCCACTTCGTCGCTCCAGCCTCCCTCGCTCCCTGGCGCAAGTGCTAGCTGGCGATGCAATCAAGCATGCGATCCCGCTGACCGATCGCATGCTGACACCTGGCAGACAGCTGGAGCTCTTCGTCGTCTCCAGGTTGGCAGATGTGTGGAATGCGCACGCCTTGCCCTTAGCTGGCATGCCATACGCTCACACAGCATGCCTTGGGCGTTAAGGCACCTGCCACACAGCTGGGTGGCGTGCGAATGCCTTGTGCTTAGCTGACATGCCGTGTGCTTAGCTGACATGCCGTGGATTTCAAGGCACGCCTGGCGCCTTTTAGGCCTTTTGTATTGAACCATGCAGTCACGCACACCTGACATGCAGTATTTTTGCTGCCCACAGCTTATTACGTGTCCATGGTTTATGATGGTGTGCGCATGGCTTATGATGGTGTGTGCATGGCTTATGATGGTGTGTGCATGGCTTATGATGGTGTGTGCATGGCTTATGATGGTGTGTGCATGGCTTATGATGGTGTGTGCATGGCTTATGATGGTGTGTGCATGGCTTATGATGGTGTGTGCATGGCTTGTGATGGTGTGTGCATGGCTTATGATGGTGTGTGCATGGCTTATGATTGTGTGTGCATGGCTTATGATGGTGTGTGCATGGCTTGTGATGGTGTGTGCATGGCTTGTGATGGTGTGTGCATGGCTTGTGATGGTGTGTGCATGGCTTATGATGGTGTGTGCATGGTTTGTGATGGTGTGTGCATGGCTTGTGATGGTGTGTGCATGGCTTGTGATGGTGTGTGCATGGAGTATGATGCGTGTGGATATGACGTGTGCGTGATTATGGTTTGTGCATGGCGAATGATATGTGCCATGGTATATGTATCCATGTGTGCTATGCAGGGAGCGGGCATGGGCGGTGGTGAAGCAGCGGTGGATGAAGCATCTCGAGACAGAGCTCAGCAACCACCTCAAATGGGTGCGCCCTGTGCTTTCCTGCTCTGCCTCACCCTGCCCTGTGCTGCGCCTCTGCCTTGCGCTGCTTGCGTTGGCGTGCTCTCTCAAGCCATAGTGCTCTCTCAAGCCATAGTGCTCTCTCAAGCCATAGTGCTCTCTCAAGCCATAGTGCTCTCTCAAGCCATAGTGCTCTCTCAAGCCATAGTGCTCTCTCAAGCCATAGTGCTCTCTCAAGCCATAGTGCTCTCTCAAGCCATAGTGCTCTCTCAAGCCATAGTGCTCTCTCAAGCCATAGTGCTCTCTCAAGCCATAGTGCTCTCTCAAGCCATAGTGCTCTCTCAAGCCATAGTGCTCTCTCAAGCCATAGTGCTCTCTCAAGCCATAGTGCTCTCTCAAGCCATAGTGCTCTCTCAAGCCATAGTGCTCTCTCAAGCCATAGTGCTCTCTCAAGCCATAGTGCTCTCTCAAGCCATAGTGCTCTCTCAAGCCATAGTGCTCTCTCAAGCCATAGTGCTCTCTCAAGCCATAGTGCTCTCTCAAGCCATAGTGCTCTCTCAAGCCATAGTGCTCTCTCAAGCCATAGTGCTCTCTCAAGCCATAGTGCTCTCTCAAGCCATAGTGCTCTCTCAAGCCATAGTGCTCTCTCAAGCCATAGTGCTCTCTCAAGCCATAGTGCTCTCTCAAGCCATAGTGCTCTCTCAAGCCATAGTGCTCTCTCAAGCCATAGTGCTCTCTCAAGCCATAGTGCTCTCTCAAGCCATAGTGCTCTCTCAAGCCATAGTGCTCTCTCAAGCCATAGTGCTCTCTCAAGCCATAGTGCTCTCTCAAGCCATAGTGCTCTCTCAAGCCATAGTGCTCTCTCAAGCCATAGTGCTCTCTCAAGCCATAGTGCTCTCTCAAGCCATAGTGCTCTCTCAAGCCATAGTGCTCTCTCAAGCCATAGTGCTCTCTCAAGCCATAGTGCTCTCTCAAGCCATAGTGCTCTCTCAAGCCATAGTGCTCTCTCAAGCCATAGTGCTCTCTCAAGCCATAGTGCTCTCTCAAGCCATAGTGCTCTCTCAAGCCATAGTGCTCTCTCAAGCCATAGTGCTCTCTCAAGCCATAGTGCTCTCTCAAGCCATAGTGCTCTCTCAAGCCATAGTGCTCTCTCAAGCCATAGTGCTCTCTCAAGCCATAGTGCTCTCTCAAGCCATAGTGCTCTCTCAAGCCATAGTGCTCTCTCAAGCCATAGTGCTCTCTCAAGCCATAGTGCTCTCTCAAGCCATAGTGCTCTCTCAAGCCATAGTGCTCTCTCAAGCCATAGTGCTCTCTCAAGCCATAGTGCTCTCTCAAGCCATAGTGCTCTCTCAAGCCATAGTGCTCTCTCAAGCCATAGTGCTCTCTCAAGCCATAGTGCTCTCTCAAGCCATAGTGCTCTCTCAAGCCATAGTGCTCTCTCAAGCCATAGTGCTCTCTCAAGCCATAGTGCTCTCTCAAGCCATAGTGCTCTCTCAAGCCATTGTGCTCTCTCAAGCCATAGTGCTCTCTCAAGCCATTGTGCTCTCTCAAGCCATTGTGCTCTCTCAAGCCATAGTGCTCTCTCAAGCCATAGTGCTCTCTCAAGCCATAGTGCTCTCTCAAGCCATAGTGCTCTCTCAAGCCATAGTGCTCTCTCAAGCCATAGTGCTCTCTCAAGCCATAGTGCTCTCTCAAGCCATAGTGCTCTCTCAAGCCATAGTGCTCTCTCAAGCCATAGTGCTCTCTCAAGCCATAGTGCTCTCTCAAGCCATAGTGCTCTTTGTTTACAAACCCCATGTCATGCGATAACATGCCACATTGCCATGGTGTGCCATGTGTCGTGTGTGCGTCTATCTACCATCTATTATTGCATTTTCTCTCTTTCTCAGGACCTATTACCACGTCTTGAAATCATCTTGTAATTCCAACAATATTTATGCGTTGCCTGCTTCCTTAGTATTTACTTGGCCCAAATATTCCATGACAATCCCTCTCATGCCCGCTCGCATGAACTCCGCCATCCCCTCCCAATCCCCCACTGCCCAATCCCCCACTGCCCAATCCCCCACTGCCCAATCCCCCACTGCCCAATCCCCCACTGCCCAATCCCCCACTGCCCAATCCCCCACTGCCCAATCCCCCACTGCCCAATCCCCCACTGCCCAATCCCCCACTGCCCAACCCCCCACTGCCCAATCCCCCACTGCCCAATCCCCCACTGCCCAATCCCCCACTGCCCAATCCCCCACTGCCCAACCCCCCACTGCCCAATCCCCCACTGCCCAATCCCCCACTGCCCAATCCCCCACTGCCCAACCCCCCACTGCCCAATCCCCCACTGCCCAATCCCCCACTGCCCAATCCCCCACTGCCCAATCCCCCACTGCCCAATCCCCCACTGCCCAATCCCCCACTGCCCAACCCCCCACTGCCCAATCCCCACTGCCCAATCCCCCACTGCCCAATCCCCCACTGCCCAATCCCCCACTGCCCAACCCCCCACTGCCCAATCCCCCACTGCCCAATCCCCCACTGCCCAATCCCCCACTGCCCAACCCCCACTGCCCAATCCCCCACTGCCCAATCCCCCACTGCCCAATCCCCCACTGCCCAATCCCCCACTGCCCAATCCCCCACTGCCCAATCCCCCACTGCCCAACCCCCCACTGCCCAATCCCCCACTGCCCAATCCCCCACTGCCCAATCCCCCACTGCCCAATCCCCCACTGCCCAACCCCCCACTGCCCAATCCCCCACTGCCCAATCCCCCACTGCCCAATCCCCCACTGCCCAATCCCCCACTGCCCAATCCCCCACTGCCCAATCCCCCACTGCCCAATCCCCCACTGCCCAACCCCCCACTGCCCAATCCCCCACTGCCCAATCCCCCACTGCCCAACCCCACTGCACAATCACTCCTACCAGCGCTATGAAGCGGAGCAAGTGAGAGATCTGGACATCCACCTCACCGTGCACTCCGTGTCCGCTAAGGTGCGCTCTCGCCCTTGCCCTCACCCCCTTGCTCTTTCCCCGTTGCCCTCTCAACCTGCTCTAACCGATCTCGACATTCATCCCACCGTGCATCCGTCTCTGCCATCATGCGCTCTCTCCCTTGCCCTCCTTCCCACTCCCTGTGTCCCACACTCACGCGGTGTCCTCGCCTTGCTCACTAGTCGTCGTCGCCATCGTTGATACCACCCTCAGCTCTGCTCCCATTAGTGATCTCGTCAGTCAGGCAGCCTGCTTTTCTTCTCCACACCCTTTTCTTGTCCTCCTCTGTCCATCACAACATGACTTTCTTTTTACCCTGTCCACGTGTCAATCTCTCATTGGCTCTGTTGCCACCCGTTGCCAAGCAGAGCAGCCCATCTTCCTGCCATCCTACGTGGCATCCTATTATCATGACAGCTGGCGCCACACGGCCGTCATCGCCGCCACGTCAGCACCATCCACCGCGCCAGCTGTCGCCGCGGACCGCCTCTTTTCCCAGCCCAAATCCACGCTGGCAGCAGCGGCCGCACTGACAGCTGGCGCCGCGCTACTGGACTTTGTTCTCCTGGGGGGCGGCGTGCCTTGGCTTTTCCACCCGGCGTCGACCGCATGGTGGATGACAGTTGGCGCACTCTCGTTGGCTGCTGGTTGGCTTGCCAGGGTGTCGCCTCGGCTCGCTGTGATTCGTCGGGGCGTGCAGCATGCCAGGGAGGTTGCTGAGGTGGCAACAGGAGGGGGGCTGTGGGGGGAAGGAGGAGGGATGGAGGAGGAGGAGGAGGTGGGGGAAGAGGAGGGGGGTGAGTTTGGCAGGGCAGAGAGGGGAGAAGCAAGAGGGCGAGGGGCAGGAGGAGGTGAAAGGCGTGAGAGTCCATCTGAGAACCCGTTTGATGGATTCCCAGGGTGAGTTGACATTGTGGATTCCACATGTGCACTTGTTCCTGGTGAGGCGCATGGGGGTCAGGGGTGAAGGCGGTATGGTTGGAAGGGGATAGTGGCCGTGTAGTGCAGGCTTGGGGGAAGAGAAAATAGAACATCGATGTGTGTGTGATGTAAACTTTGGAAGGTGGTCGAAAGGGTTGGCTTGGCTGCACAGCACATCTGGTTCGGCTGGAAGGGTTGGTTTGAATTGCCTGGGTTTGAGTGTGTAGTGGAGGATAACTGTGGCGGTTCAATTGGTTGTGCGCTGTAGGTTCTTGGAGTTGCATGAATGTGGTGCTGCGCGTAGTGGTGGCGCCGTGAAGGGAGATAAGTGCGATTATTGCCACGCTCAGAGTGGCTGTGAAGCTTGTGTTTCTGCTCATACATGTGGCGTGGTTCAGCACTGACAGCGACAGCAGGATGGGATGGGAAGCAAGTGTTGCCGGGGCTTGCTATCCTTGTCTCTTTCCTCCCAGCACTGACACCAGCTCCACTTTCTGCACCTCGTGCCCGATTCAATAATACACACCAATCGCCCCAAGTCTTGCTCCCTTTCCCCCCACACTCAATCATACTCAAGCCCCTGCTTCTCCCCACTGGTCTTGGATGCATTTTATTTGTCATCCCCCATCTTCTGGTGCAATCTTGCCATCTCAACCCCCCCATTTATCATCTCTGCAATTTTCTCTCCCAAACTCAATCCCAAAACCACACCTCTTTCCAGCCCCTTCCTCTCACTTCTATCACGTCGCACTCTCTTTCCGAACCTGCTCCACAGGTTCGGCAACTTCCGGGTCTTCCGCCGAGCCTTCGTCAGTCCAGAGGACGTGTGGAGGGAGTTTGAGCGCATGGCCCGGGGAGGAGCCTCGTCCTGGCCTGGTGGCTTCGGCAGCGGAGGTTCCAGCAGCAAAAGTCAGCGCACCCAGCAACAGCAGCAGCAGCAGCAGCAGCAGCAGCAGCAGGATAGGAGGCATCAGCAGTGGCAGCAGCAATGGGAGCAGCAGTGGCAGCAGCAGTACGGGCGGCAGCAGAAACAACAACAACGGCAGAAGCAGCAGCAGGGGTCAAGGCAGACAAGGACAGGGCGAACAAGTTCAGATCCCAAGGGCTACTATGCTGTTCTGGGTCTGGCTGGCAAAGGGCGGCAGGCGAGTCAGCAGGAGATCAAATCTGCGTTCCGCCAGCTGGCGATGGAGACACACCCTGACAGGCAGCCGGACGAGGGGAAGAGGCGGGTGGCAGAGGAGCGGTTCAAGAGGATTGCAGAGGCGTATGAGGTGCTCAGGGATCCCAGCAAGCGCAGTGCCTATGACAGCGGTGCGCTGTGAGGTGTGTAGGATGGGACAGAAGCAGGCAGACCGAGAGAGGAGGCGTATGAGGTGCTGCGGGATCCCTCCAAGCGCAGTGCCTATGACAGCGGTGTGATGTGAGGTGTGAGGTGTGGGTTGTTGGGGTGTGATGGCAGTGCAATGGAATGTAAGGTGGGGCAGCAGTATGCAAACAAGGGAGGAGGCGTATGAGGTGCTAAGGGATCCCGGCAAGCGCAGTGCCTATGACAGCGGTGCGCTGTGAGGTGTTGGGGTGTGAGGTGTGTGAGGTGTGTGAGGTGTGTGATGTGTGGGATGTGTGGGATGTCATTTGTGGGGTGGTGATGTGTGGGGTGTGGCGGCCGTGCAATGTGGAGTGTGGACGGGTTGTGAGACGCGACAACAGCAGGCAGACAAGGGGAGGAGGCGGGCGGTGGAGGAGAGGTTCAAGAGGATTGCAGTGAGGAGAGGTTCAAGAGGATTGCAGTGAGGAGAGGTTCAAGAGGATTGCAGTGAGGAGAGGTTCAAGAGGATTGCAGTGAGGAGAGGTTCAAGAGGATTGCAGTGAGGAGAGGTTCAAGAGGATTGCAGTGAGGAGAGGTTCAAGAGGATTGCTGGTACTAAGAGGAGGCATATGAGGTGCTTTGGTGCGCTGTGATGGCAGTGCACAGCACGCTGTGTGCTGTGCGCTTTAGGGGTGTGTGCTGTGCGCTTTAGGGGTGTGTGCTGTGCGCTTTAGGGGTGTGTGCTGTGCGCTTTAGGGGTGTGTGCTGTGCGCTTTAGGGGTGTGTGCTGTGCGCTTTAAGGGTGTGTGCTGTGCGCTTTAGGGGTGTGTGCTGTGCGCTTTAGGGGTGTGCGCTGTGCACTTTAGGGGTGTGTGCTGTGCGCTTTAGGGGTGTGTGCTGTGCGCTTTAGGGGTGTGTGCTGTGCGCTTTAGGGGTGTGTGCTGTGCGCTTTAGGGGTGTGTGCTGTGCGCTTTAGGGGTGTGTGCTGTGCGCTTTAGGGGTGTGTGCTGTGCGCTTTAGGGGTGTGTGCTGTGCGCTTTAGGGGTGTGTGCTGTGCGCTTTAGGGGTGTGTGCTGCGAGCTGTTACTGCTGCAGGGTGCACAATGGAACTGACGACAGAGTGCATGCAGACCGAGACAAGTTGAGATGTGTGAGGAAAGCAGTGGTGATTGTTCGCTGGGTATTTTGGCACAAGAATGGAGGAGACTACAGTGATCATTACTACGTATTAGGGTTGGTGATACTCGGTTTGTAAGAAATCATGAGTTGCCCAGTGAAGCCTGAGTTAGCTCGGATATGGTAAGATTGGATTGGCAGTGTCACCGTGCAGTTGGATAGCAGTATCATGCCCACAGCAACATCCAACAACAGAATTCATTGCTTCAATCTATCTCTAGTGAACGAATTTCAAACAAGCCGCTTTGACGTCTACCATGCATGGGTAGAGCACACCCGGCATTGCACTTTCCATACAAGAGCACTGCAGCCCTGCTGCCTAGATGGGAAGCAGCACCGCCGCACACAACCTTCTCAAGCAGTCCGGTGTGCTGTGCTCCAATGTCATGCAGTCCAGTGTGCTGTGCTCCAATGTCATGCAGTCCAGTGTGATGTGCTCGAATGTCATGCAGTCCAGTGTGCTGTGCTCGAATGTCATGCAGTCGAGTGTGCTGTGCTCGAATGTCATGCAGTCCAGTGTGCTGTGCTCGAATGTCATGCAGTCCAGTGTGCTGTGCTCGAATGTCATGCAGTCCAGTGTGCTGTGCTCGAATGTCATGCAGTCCAGTGTGTTGTGCTCCAATGTCATGCATTCCAGTGTGCTGTGCTCCAATGTCATGCAGTCCAGTGTGCTGTGCTCCAATGTCATGCAGTCCAGTGTGCTGTGCTCGAATGTCATGCAGTCGAGTGTGCTGTGCTCGAATGTCATGCAGTCCAGTGTGCTATGCTCGAATGTCATGCAGTCCAGTGTGCTGTGCTCCAATGTCATGCAGTCCAGTGTGCTGTGCTCCAATGTCATGCAGTCCAGTGTGCTGTGCTCCAATGTCATGCAGTCCAGTGTGCTGTGCTCCAATGTCATGCAGTCCAGTGTGCTGTGCTAGAATGTCACGCAGTCCAGTGTGCTGTGCTAGAATGTCATGCAGTCCAGTGTGCTGTGCTCCAATGTCATGCAGTCCAGTGTGCTGTGCTCGAATGTCATGCAGTCCAGTGTGCTGTGCTCCAATGTCATGCAGTCCAGTGTGATGTGCTCCAATGTCATGCAGTCCAGTGTGCTGTGCTCCAATGTCATGCAGTCCAGTGTGCTGTGCTCCAATGTCATGCAGTCCAGTGTGCTGTGCTCGAATGTCATGCAGTCCAGTGTGCTATGCTCGAATGTCATGCAGTCCAGTGTGCTGTGCTCGAATGTCATGCAGTCCAGTGTGCTGTGCTCGAATGTCATGCAGTCCAGTGTGCTGTGCTCCAATGTCACGCAGTCCAGTGTGCTGTGCTCGAATGTCATGCAGTCCAGTGTGTTGTGCTCGAATGTCATGCAGTCCAGTGTGCTGTGCTCGAATGTCATGCAGTCCAGTGTGCTGTGCTCGAATGTCATGCAGTCCAGTGTGCTGTGCTAGAATGTCATGCAGTCCAGTGTGCTGTGCTCCAATGTCATGCATTCCAGTGTGCTGTGCTCGAATGTCATGCAGTCCAGTGTGATGTGCTCCAATGTCATGCAGTCCAGTGTGATGTGCTCCAATGTCATGCAGTCCAGTGTGCTGTGCTCCAATGTCATGGAGTCCAGTGTGCTGTGCTCCAATGTCATGCAGTCCAGTGTGCTGTGCTCCAATGTCATGCAGTCCAGTGTGCTGTGCTCGAATGTCATGCAGTCCAGTGTAATGTCATGCAGTCTAGTGTGCTGTGCTCGAATGTCATGCAGTCCAGTGTGCTGTGCTCGAATGTAATGCAGTCCACTGTGCTGTGCTCCAATGTCATGCAGTCCAGTGTGCTGTGCTCCAATGTCATGCAGTCCAGTGTGCTGTGCTAGAATGTCACGCAGTCCAGTGTGCTGTGCTAGAATGTCATGCAGTCCAGTGTGCTGTGCTAGAATGTCATGCAGTCCAGTGTGCTGTGCTCGAATGTCATGCAGTCCAGTGTGCTGTGCTCGAATGTCATGCAGTCCAGTGTGCTGTGCTCCAATGTCATGCAGTCCGGTGTGATGTGCTCGAATGTCATGCAGTCCAGTGTGCTGTGCTCCAATGTCATGCAGTCCAGTGTGCTGTGCTAGAATGTCACGCAGTCCAGTGTGCTGTGCTCCAATGTCATGCAGTCCAGTGTGATGTGCTCCAATGTCATGCAGTCCAGTGTGATGTGCTCCAATGTCATGCAGTCCAGTGTGCTGTGCTCCAATGTCATGCAATCCAGTGTGCTGTGCTCCAATGTCATGCAGTCCAGTGTGCTGTGCTCCAATGTCATGCAGTCCAGTGTGCTGCGCTCCAATGTCATGCAGTCCAGTGTGCTGTGCTAGAATGTCATGCATTCCAGTGTGCTGTGCTCCAATGTCATGCAGTCCAGTGTGCTGTGCTCGAATGTCATGCAGTCCAGTGTGCTGTGCTCCAATGTCATGCAGTCCAATGTGCTGTGATCCAATGTCATGCAGTCCAGTGTGCTGTGCTCCAATGTCATGCAGTCCAGTGTGCTGTGCTCCAATGTCATGCATTCCAGTGTGCTGTGCTCCAATGTCATGCAGTCCAGTGTGCTGCGCTCCAATGTCATGCATTCCAGTGTGCTGTGCTCCAATGTCATGCAGTCCAGTGTGCTGCCCTCCAATGTCATGCAGTCCAGTGTGCTGTGCTCCAATGTCATGCAGTCCAGTGTGCTGTGCTCCAATGTCATGCAGTCCAGTGTGCTGTGATACAATGTCATGCAGTCCAGTGTGCTGTGCTCCAATGTCATGCAGTCCAGTGTGCTGTGCTCCAATGTCATGCAGTCCAGTGTGCTGTGCTCCAATGTCATGCAGTCCAGTGTGCTGTGCTCCAATGTCATGCAGTCCAGTGTGCTGTGCTCCAATGTCATGCAGTCCAGTGTGCTGTGCTCCAATGTCATGCAGTCCAGTGTGCTGTGCTCCAATGTCATGCAGTCCAGTGTGCTGTGCTCCAATGTCATGCAGTCCAGTGTGCTGTGCTCCAATGTCATGCAGTCCAGTGTGCTGTGCTCCAATGTCATGCAGTCCAGTGTGCTGTGCTCCAATGTCATGCAGTCCAGTGTGCTGTGCTCCAATGTCATGCATTCCAGTGTGCTGTGCTCCAATGTCATGCAGTCCAGTGTGCTGTGCTCCAATGTCATGCAGTCCAGTGTGCTGTGCTCCAATGTCATGCATTCCAGTGTGCTGTGCTCCAATGTCAAGCAGTCCAGTGTGCTGTGCTCCAATGTCATGCATTCCAGTGTGCTGTGCTCCAATGTCATGCAGTCCAGTGTGCTGTGCTCCAATGTCATGCAGTCCAGTGTGATGTGCTCCAATGTCATGCAGTCCAGTGTGCTGTGCTCCAATGTCATGCAGTCCAGTGTGCTGTGCTCCAATGTCATGCAGTCCAGTGTGCTGTGCTCCAATGTCATGCATTCCAGTGTGCTGTGCTCCAATGTCATGCAGTCGAGTGTGCTGTGCTCCAATGTCATGCAGTCCAGTGTGTTGTGCTCCAATGTCATGCAGTCCAGTGTGTTGTGCTCCAATGTCATGCAGTCGAGTGTGCTGTGCTCCAATGTCATGCAGTCGAGTGTGCTGTGCTCCAATGTCATGCAGTCCAGTGTGCTGTGCTCCAATGTCATGCAGTCCAGTGTGCTGTGCTCCAATGTCATGCAGTCCAGTGTGCTGTGCTCCAATGTCATGCAGTCCAGTGTGCTGTGCTCCAATGTCATGCAGTCCAGTGTGCTGTGCTCCAATGTCATGCAGTCCAGTGTGCTGTGCTCCAATGTCATGCAGTCCAGTGTGCTGTGCTCCAATGTCATGCAGTCCAGTGTGCTGTGCTCCAATGTCATGCAGTCCAATGTGCTGTGCTCCAATGTCATGCAGTCCAGTGTGCTGTGCTCCAATGTCATGCAGTCCAGTGTGCTGTGCTCCAATGTCATGCATTCCAGTGTGCTGTGCTCCAATGTCATGCAGTCCAGTGTGCTGTGCTCCAATGTCATGCAGTCCAGTGTGCTGTGCTCCAATGTCATGCATTCCAGTGTGCTGTGCTCCAATGTCATGCAGTCCAGTGTGCTGTGCTCCAATGTCATGCAGTCCAGTGTGCTGTGCTCCAATGTCATGCAGTCCAGTGTGCTGTGCTCCAATGTCAAGCAGTCCAGTGTGCTGTGCTCCAATGTCATGCATTCCAGTGTGCTGTGCTCCAATGTCATGCAGTCCAGTGTGCTGTGCTCCAATGTCATGCAGTCCAGTGTGATGTGCTCCAATGTCATGCAGTCCAGTGTGCTGTGCTCCAATGTCATGCAGTCCAGTGTGCTGTGCTCCAATGTCATGCAGTCCAGTGTGCTGTGCTCCAATGTCATGCAGTCCAGTGTGCTGTGCTCCAATGTCATGCATTCCAGTGTGCTGTGCTCCAATGTCATGCAGTCCAGTGTGCTGTGCTCCAATGTCATGCAGTCCAGTGTGCTGTGCTCCAATGTCATGCAGTCCAGTGTGCTGTGCTCCAATGTCATGCAGTCCAGTGTGCTGTGCTCCAATGTCATGCAGTCCAGTGTGCTGTGCTCCAATGTCATGCAGTCCAGTGTGCTGTGCTCCAATGTCATGCAGTCCAGTGTGCTGTGCTCCAATGTCATGCAGTCCAGTGTGCTGTGCTCCAATGTCATGCAGTCCAGTGTGCTGTGCTCCAATGTCATGCAGTCCAGTGTGCTGTGCTCCAATGTCATGCAGTCCAGTGTGCTGTGCTCCAATGTCATGCAGTCCAGTGTGCTGTGCTCCAATGTCAAGCAGTCCAGTGTGCTGTGCTCCAATGTCAAGCAGTCCAGTGTGCTGTGCTCCAATGTCATGCAGTCCAGTGTGCTGTGCTCCAATGTCATGCAGTCCAGTGTGCTGTGCTCCAATGTCATGCAGTCCAGTGTGCTGTGCTCCAATGTCATGCAGTTCAGTGTGCTGTGCTCCAATGTCATGCAGTCCAGTGTGCTGTGCTCCAATGTCATGCAGTCCAGTGTGCTGTGCTCGAATGTCATGCAGTCCACTGTGCTGTGCTCGAATGTCATGCAGTCCAGTGTGCTGTGCTCCAATGTCATGCAGTCCAGTGTGATGTGCTCCAATGTCATGCAGTCCAGTGTGCTGTGCTCCAATGTCATGCAGTCCAGTGTGCTGTGCTCGAATGTCATGCAGTCCAGTGTGCTGTGCTCCAATGTCATGCAGTCCAGTGTGCTGCGCTCGAATGTCATGCAGTCCAGTGTGCTGTGCTCCAATGTCATGCATTCCAGTGTGCTGTGCTCCAATGTCATGCAGTCCAGTGTGCTGTGCTCGAATGTCATGCAGTCCAGTGTGCTGTGCTCCGATGTCATGCAGTCCAGTGTGCTGTGATCCAATGTCATGCAGTCCAGTGTGCTGCGCTCCAATGTCATGCAGTCCAGTGTGCTGTGCTCCAATGTCATGCATTCCAGTGTGCTGTGCTCCAATGTCATGCAGTCCAGTGTGCTGCGCTCCAATGTCATGCAGTCCAGTGTGCTGTGCTCCAATGTCATGCAGTCCAGTGTGCTGCGCTCCAATGTCATGCAGTCCAGTGTGTTGCGCTCCAATGTCATGCATTCCAGTGTGCTGGGCTCCAATGTCATGCAGTCCAGTGTGCTGTGCTCCAATGTCATGCAGTCCAGTGTGCTGTGCTCCAATGTCATGCAGTCCAGTGTGCTGTGCTCCAATGTCATGCAGTCCAGTGTGCTGTGCTCCAGTGTGCTGTGCTCCAATGTCATGCAGTCCAGTGTGCTGTGCTCCAATGTCATGCAGTCCAGTGTGATGTGCACCAATGTCATGCAGTCCAGTGTGCTGTGCACCAATGTCATGCAGTCCAGTGTGCTGTGCTCCAATGTCATGCAGTCCAGTGTGCTGCGCTCCAATGTCATGCAGTCCAGTGTGCTGCGCTCCAATGTCATGCAGTCCAGTGTGCTGCGCTCCAATGTCATGCAGTCGAGTGTGCTGTGCTCCAATGTCGTGCAGTCGAGTGTGCTGTGCTCCAATGTCGTGCAGTCGAGTGTGCTGTGCTCCAATGTCGTGCAGTCGAGTGTGCTGTGCTCCAATGTCGTGCAGTCGAGTGTGCTGTGCTCCAATGTCGTGCAGTCCAGTGTGCTGTGCTCCAATGTCGTGCAGTCCAGTGTGCTGTGCTCCAATGTCAAGCAGTCCAGTGTGCTGTGCTCCAATGTCATGCAGTCCAGTGTGCTGTGCTCCAATGTCATGCAGTCCAGTGTGCTGTGCTCCAATGTCATGCAGTCCAGTGTGCTGTGCTCCAATGTCAAGCAGTCCAGTGTGCTGTGCTCCAATGTCAAGCAGTCCAGTGTGCTGTGCTCCAATGTCAAGCAGTCCAGTGTGCTGTGCTCCAATGTCATGCAGTCCAGTGTGCTGTGCTCCAATGTCATGCAGTCCAGTGTGCTGTGCTCCAATGTCATGCAGTCCAGTGTGCTGTGCTCCAATGTCATGCAGTCCAGTGTGCTGTGCTCCAATGTCATGCAGTCCAGTGTGCTGTGCTCCAATGTCATGCAGTCCAGTGTGCTGTGCTCGAATGTCATGCAGTCCACTGTGCTGTGCTCGAATGTCATGCAGTCCAGTGTGCTGTGCTCCAATGTCATGCAGTCCAGTGTGATGTGCTCCAATGTCATGCAGTCCAGTGTGCTGTGCTCCAATGTCATGCAGTCCAGTGTGCTGTGCTCGAATGTCATGCAGTCCAGTGTGCTGTGCTCCAATGTCATGCAGTCCAGTGTGCTGCGCTCGAATGTCATGCAGTCCAGTGTGCTGTGCTCCAATGTCATGCATTCCAGTGTGCTGTGCTCGAATGTCATGCAGTCCAGTGTGCTGCGCTCCAATGTCATGCAGTCCAGTGTGCTGTGCTCCAATGTCATGCAGTCCAGTGTGCTGCGCTCGAATGTCATGCAGTCCAGTGTGCTGTGCTCCAATGTCATGCATTCCAGTGTGCTGTGCTCCAATGTCATGCAGTCCAGTGTGCTGTGCTCGAATGTCATGCAGTCCAGTGTGCTGTGCTCCAATGTCATGCAGTCCAGTGTGCTGTGATCCAATGTCATGCAGTCCAGTGTGCTGCGCTCCAATGTCATGCAGTCCAGTGTGCTGTGCTCCAATGTCATCCATTCCAGTGTGATGTGCTCCAATGTCATGCAGTCCAGTGTGCTGCGCTCCAATGTCATGCAGTCCAGTGTGCTGTGCTCCAATGTCATGCAGTCCAGTGTGCTGCGCTCCAATGTCATGCAGTCCAGTGTGCTGTGCTCCAATGTCATGCAGTCCAGTGTGCTGCGCTCCAATGTCATGCAGTCCAGTGTGCTGCGCTCCAATGTCATGCAGTCCAGTGATCTGCGCTCCAATGTCATGCAGTCCAGTGTGCTGCGCTCCAATGTCATGCAGTCCAGTGTGCTGCGCTCCAATGTCATGCAGTCCAGTGTGCTGCGCTCCAATGTCATGCAGTCCAGTGTGCTGCGCTCCAATGTCATGCAGTCCAGTGTGCTGCGCTCCAATGTCATGCAGTCCAGTGTGCTGTGCTCCAATGTCATGCAGTCCAGTGTGCTGTGCTCCAATGTCATGCAGTCCAGTGTGCTGTGCTCCAATGTCATGCAGTCCAGTGTGCTGTGCTCCAATGTCATGCAGTCCAGTGTGCCGTGCTCCAATGTCATGCAGTCCAGTGTGCCGTGCTCCAATGTCATGCAGTCCAGTGTGCCGTGCTCCAATGTCATGCAGTCCAGTGTGCCGTGCTCCAATGTCATGCTGTCCAGTGTGCCGTGCTCCAATGTCATGCTGTCCAGTGTGCCGTGCTCCAATGTCATGCTGTCCAGTGTGCTGTGCTCCAATGTCATGCTGTCCAGTGTGCCGTGCTCCAATGTCATGCTGTCCAGTGTGCGGTGCTCCAATGTCATGCTGTCCAGTGTGCCGTGCTCCAATGTCATGCTGTCCAGTGTGCGGTGCTCCAATGTCATGCAGTCCAGTGTGCTGTGCTCCAATGTCATGCTGTCCAGTGTGCTGTGCTCCAATGTCATGCTGTCCAGTGTGCTGTGCTCCAATGTCATGCAGTCCAGTGTGCTGCGCTCCAATGTCATGCAGTCCAGTGTGCTGCGCTCCAATGTCATGCAGTCCAGTGTGCTGCGCTCCAATGTCATGCAGTCCAGTGTGCTGTGCTCCAATGTCATGCAGTCCAGTGTGCTGTGCTCCAATGTCATGCATTCCAGTGTGCTGTGCTCCAATGTCATGCATTCCAGTGTGCTGTGCTCCAATGTCATGCAGTCCAGTGTGCTGTGCTCCAATGTCATGCAGTCCAGTGTGCTGTGCTCCAATGTCATGCAGTCCAGTGTGCTGTGCTCCAATGTCATGCAGTCCAGTGTGCTGTGCTCCAATGTCATGCAGTCCAGTGTGCTGTGCTCCAATGTCATGCAGTCCAGTGTGCTGTGCTCCAATGTCATGCAGTCCAGTGTGCTGTGCTCCAATGTCATGCAGTCCAGTGTGTTGTGCTCCAATGTCATGCAGTCCAGTGTGCTGTGCTCCAATGTCATGCAGTCCAGTGTGCTGTGCTCCAATGTCATGCAGTCCAGTGTGCTGTGCTCCAATGTCATGCAGTCCAGTGTGCTGTGCTCCAATGTCATGCAGTCCAGTGTGCTGTGCTCCAATGTCATGCAGTCCAGTGTGCTGTGCTCCAATGTCATGCAGTCCAGTGTGCTGTGCTCCAATATCATGCAGTCTAGTGTGCTGTGCTCCAATGTCATGCAGTCCAGTGTGCTGTGCTCCAATGTCATGCAGTCCAGTGTGCTGTGCTCCAATGTCATGCAGTCCAGTGTGCTGTGCTCCAATGTCATGCAGTCCAGTGTGTTGTGCTCCAATGTCATGCAGTCCAGTGTGTTGTGCTCCAATGTCATGCAGTCCAGTGTGCTGTGCTCCAATGTCATGCAGTCCAGTGTGCTGTGCTCCAATGTCATGCAGTCCAGTGTGCTGTGCTCCAATGTCATGCATTCCAGTGTGCTGTGCTCCAATGTCATGCAGTCCAGTGTGCTGTGCTCCAATGTCATGCAGTCCAGTGTGCTGTGCTCCAATGTCATGCATTCCAGTGTGCTGTGCTCCAATGTCATGCAGTCCAGTGTGCTGTGCTCCAATGTCATGCAGTCCAGTGTGCTGTGCTCCAATGTCATGCAGTCCAGTGTGCTGTGCTCCAATGTCAAGCAGTCCAGTGTGCTGTGCTCCAATGTCATGCATTCCAGTGTGCTGTGCTCCAATGTCATGCAGTCCAGTGTGCTGTGCTCCAATGTCATGCAGTCCAGTGTGATGTGCTCCAATGTCATGCAGTCCAGTGTGCTGTGCTCCAATGTCATGCAGTCCAGTGTGCTGTGCTCCAATGTCATGCAGTCCAGTGTGCTGTGCTCCAATGTCATGCAGTCCAGTGTGCTGTGCTCCAATGTCATGCATTCCAGTGTGCTGTGCTCCAATGTCATGCAGTCCAGTGTGCTGTGCTCCAATGTCATGCAGTCCAGTGTGCTGTGCTCCAATGTCATGCAGTCCAGTGTGCTGTGCTCCAATGTCATGCAGTCCAGTGTGCTGTGCTCCAATGTCATGCAGTCCAGTGTGCTGTGCTCCAATGTCATGCAGTCCAGTGTGCTGTGCTCCAATGTCATGCAGTCCAGTGTGCTGTGCTCCAATGTCATGCAGTCCAGTGTGCTGTGCTCCAATGTCATGCAGTCCAGTGTGCTGTGCTCCAATGTCATGCAGTCCAGTGTGCTGTGCTCCAATGTCATGCAGTCCAGTGTGCTGTGCTCCAATGTCATGCAGTCCAGTGTGCTGTGCTCCAATGTCAAGCAGTCCAGTGTGCTGTGCTCCAATGTCAAGCAGTCCAGTGTGCTGTGCTCCAATGTCATGCAGTCCAGTGTGCTGTGCTCCAATGTCATGCAGTCCAGTGTGCTGTGCTCCAATGTCATGCAGTCCAGTGTGCTGTGCTCCAATGTCATGCAGTCCAGTGTGCTGTGCTCCAATGTCATGCAGTCCAGTGTGCTGTGCTCCAATGTCATGCAGTCCAGTGTGCTGTGCTCGAATGTCATGCAGTCCACTGTGCTGTGCTCCAATGTCATGCAGTCCAGTGTGCTGTGCTCCAATGTCATGCAGTCCAGTGTGATGTGCTCCAATGTCATGCAGTCCAGTGTGCTGTGCTCCAATGTCATGCAGTCCAGTGTGCTGTGCTCGAATGTCATGCAGTCCAGTGTGCTGTGCTCCAATGTCATGCAGTCCAGTGTGCTGCGCTCGAATGTCATGCAGTCCAGTGTGCTGTGCTCCAATGTCATGCATTCCAGTGTGCTGTGCTCCAATGTCATGCAGTCCAGTGTGCTGTGCTCGAATGTCATGCAGTCCAGTGTGCTGTGCTCCGATGTCATGCAGTCCAGTGTGCTGTGATCCAATGTCATGCAGTCCAGTGTGCTGCGCTCCAATGTCATGCAGTCCAGTGTGCTGTGCTCCAATGTCATGCATTCCAGTGTGCTGTGCTCCAATGTCATGCAGTCCAGTGTGCTGCGCTCCAATGTCATGCAGTCCAGTGTGCTGTGCTCCAATGTCATGCAGTCCAGTGTGCTGCGCTCCAATGTCATGCAGTCCAGTGTGTTGCGCTCCAATGTCATGCATTCCAGTGTGCTGGGCTCCAATGTCATGCAGTCCAGTGTGCTGTGCTCCAATGTCATGCAGTCCAGTGTGCTGTGCTCCAATGTCATGCAGTCCAGTGTGCTGTGCTCCAATGTCATGCAGTCCAGTGTGCTGTGCTCCAGTGTGCTGTGCTCCAATGTCATGCAGTCCAGTGTGCTGTGCTCCAATGTCATGCAGTCCAGTGTGATGTGCACCAATGTCATGCAGTCCAGTGTGCTGTGCACCAATGTCATGCAGTCCAGTGTGCTGTGCTCCAATGTCATGCAGTCCAGTGTGCTGCGCTCCAATGTCATGCAGTCCAGTGTGCTGCGCTCCAATGTCATGCAGTCCAGTGTGCTGCGCTCCAATGTCATGCAGTCGAGTGTGCTGTGCTCCAATGTCGTGCAGTCGAGTGTGCTGTGCTCCAATGTCGTGCAGTCGAGTGTGCTGTGCTCCAATGTCGTGCAGTCGAGTGTGCTGTGCTCCAATGTCGTGCAGTCGAGTGTGCTGTGCTCCAATGTCGTGCAGTCCAGTGTGCTGTGCTCCAATGTCGTGCAGTCCAGTGTGCTGTGCTCCAATGTCAAGCAGTCCAGTGTGCTGTGCTCCAATGTCATGCAGTCCAGTGTGCTGTGCTCCAATGTCATGCAGTCCAGTGTGCTGTGCTCCAATGTCATGCAGTCCAGTGTGCTGTGCTCCAATGTCAAGCAGTCCAGTGTGCTGTGCTCCAATGTCAAGCAGTCCAGTGTGCTGTGCTCCAATGTCAAGCAGTCCAGTGTGCTGTGCTCCAATGTCATGCAGTCCAGTGTGCTGTGCTCCAATGTCATGCAGTCCAGTGTGCTGTGCTCCAATGTCATGCAGTCCAGTGTGCTGTGCTCCAATGTCATGCAGTCCAGTGTGCTGTGCTCCAATGTCATGCAGTCCAGTGTGCTGTGCTCCAATGTCATGCAGTCCAGTGTGCTGTGCTCGAATGTCATGCAGTCCACTGTGCTGTGCTCGAATGTCATGCAGTCCAGTGTGCTGTGCTCCAATGTCATGCAGTCCAGTGTGATGTGCTCCAATGTCATGCAGTCCAGTGTGCTGTGCTCCAATGTCATGCAGTCCAGTGTGCTGTGCTCGAATGTCATGCAGTCCAGTGTGCTGTGCTCCAATGTCATGCAGTCCAGTGTGCTGCGCTCGAATGTCATGCAGTCCAGTGTGCTGTGCTCCAATGTCATGCATTCCAGTGTGCTGTGCTCGAATGTCATGCAGTCCAGTGTGCTGCGCTCCAATGTCATGCAGTCCAGTGTGCTGTGCTCCAATGTCATGCAGTCCAGTGTGCTGCGCTCGAATGTCATGCAGTCCAGTGTGCTGTGCTCCAATGTCATGCATTCCAGTGTGCTGTGCTCCAATGTCATGCAGTCCAGTGTGCTGTGCTCGAATGTCATGCAGTCCAGTGTGCTGTGCTCCAATGTCATGCAGTCCAGTGTGCTGTGATCCAATGTCATGCAGTCCAGTGTGCTGCGCTCCAATGTCATGCAGTCCAGTGTGCTGTGCTCCAATGTCATCCATTCCAGTGTGATGTGCTCCAATGTCATGCAGTCCAGTGTGCTGCGCTCCAATGTCATGCAGTCCAGTGTGCTGTGCTCCAATGTCATGCAGTCCAGTGTGCTGCGCTCCAATGTCATGCAGTCCAGTGTGCTGTGCTCCAATGTCATGCAGTCCAGTGTGCTGCGCTCCAATGTCATGCAGTCCAGTGTGCTGCGCTCCAATGTCATGCAGTCCAGTGATCTGCGCTCCAATGTCATGCAGTCCAGTGTGCTGCGCTCCAATGTCATGCAGTCCAGTGTGCTGCGCTCCAATGTCATGCAGTCCAGTGTGCTGCGCTCCAATGTCATGCAGTCCAGTGTGCTGCGCTCCAATGTCATGCAGTCCAGTGTGCTGCGCTCCAATGTCATGCAGTCCAGTGTGCTGTGCTCCAATGTCATGCAGTCCAGTGTGCTGTGCTCCAATGTCATGCAGTCCAGTGTGCTGTGCTCCAATGTCATGCAGTCCAGTGTGCTGTGCTCCAATGTCATGCAGTCCAGTGTGCCGTGCTCCAATGTCATGCAGTCCAGTGTGCCGTGCTCCAATGTCATGCAGTCCAGTGTGCCGTGCTCCAATGTCATGCAGTCCAGTGTGCCGTGCTCCAATGTCATGCTGTCCAGTGTGCCGTGCTCCAATGTCATGCTGTCCAGTGTGCCGTGCTCCAATGTCATGCTGTCCAGTGTGCTGTGCTCCAATGTCATGCTGTCCAGTGTGCCGTGCTCCAATGTCATGCAGTCCAGTGTGCGGTGCTCCAATGTCATGCTGTCCAGTGTGCCGTGCTCCAATGTCATGCTGTCCAGTGTGCGGTGCTCCAATGTCATGCAGTCCAGTGTGCTGTGCTCCAATGTCATGCTGTCCAGTGTGCTGTGCTCCAATGTCATGCTGTCCAGTGTGCTGTGCTCCAATGTCATGCAGTCCAGTGTGCTGCGCTCCAATGTCATGCAGTCCAGTGTGCTGCGCTCCAATGTCATGCAGTCCAGTGTGCTGCGCTCCAATGTCATGCAGTCCAGTGTGCTGTGCTCCAATGTCATGCAGTCCAGTGTGCTGTGCTCCAATGTCATGCAGTCCAGTGTGCTGTGCTCCAATGTCATGCATTCCAGTGTGCTGTGCTCCAATGTCATGCAGTCCAGTGTGCTGTGCTCCAATGTCATGCAGTCCAGTGTGCTGTGCTCCAATGTCATGCAGTCCAGTGTGCTGTGCTCCAATGTCATGCAGTCCAGTGTGCTGTGCTCCAATGTCATGCAGTCCAGTGTGCTGTGCTCCAATGTCATGCAGTCTAGTGTGCTGTGCTCCAATGTCATGCAGTCCAGTGTGCTGTGCTCCAATGTCATGCAGTCCAGTGTGTTGTGCTCCAATGTCATGCAGTCCAGTGTGCTGTGCTCCAATGTCATGCAGTCCAGTGTGCTGTGCTCCAATGTCATGCAGTCCAGTGTGCTGTGCTCCAATGTCATGCAGTCCAGTGTGCTGTGCTCCAATGTCATGCAGTCCAGTGTGCTGTGCTCCAATGTCATGCAGTCCAGTGTGCTGTGCTCCAATGTCATGCAGTCCAGTGTGCTGTGCTCCAATGTCATGCAGTCTAGTGTGCTGTGCTCCAATGTCATGCAGTCCAGTGTGCTGTGCTCCAATGTCATGCAGTCCAGTGTGCTGTGCTCCAATGTCATGCAGTCCAGTGTGCTGTGCTCCAATGTCATGCAGTCCAGTGTGTTGTGCTCCAATGTCATGCAGTCCAGTGTGTTGTGCTCCAATGTCATGCAGTCCAGTGTGCTGTGCTCCAATGTCATGCAGTCCAGTGTGCTGTGCTCCAATGTCATGCAGTCCAGTGTGCTGTGCTCCAATGTCATGCATTCCAGTGTGCTGTGCTCCAATGTCATGCAGTCCAGTGTGCTGTGCTCCAATGTCATGCAGTCCAGTGTGCTGTGCTCCAATGTCATGCAGTCCAGTGTGCTGTGCTCCAATGTCATGCAGTCCAGTGTGCTGTGCTCCAATGTCATGCAGTCCAGTGTGCTGTGCTCCAATGTCATGCAGTCCAGTGTGCTGTGCTCCAATGTCATGCAGTCCACTGTGCTGTGCTCCAATGTCATGCACTAACCACATAGAGCAAGTCAGTGAGCTGATCACATATACTTCACATTCTATGATTCTACTGATCCATGGCATGTACTCTGTTGATGTTATATAGCAGCACAGTGATCACTGATCACCCAACGCCAGTCACGAACTGCTGGTACCACCACCACCCACGTGCATCGCCCGTGCAAGCTCCGCATCAAAATCAGCAGCGCCAGCAACGCCCTCTATCTCCCTGTCAATCCGCACAACAGCCCGGTCCACCTCCCGCCCCGCACCTCCTGCTCCATCGCCTGCAGCTGCCCCACAACCTGCGCCATGGTGGGGCGCGAGGCAGTGGGCATGGCGGTGCAGGCGAGGGCAAGGCGAGCAAGGCGCAGCAGCAGGTCGTCTGGGGCGACTAAGTTAGGGTCCTTGAAGGCTGCTACAGAGCTGGATGCCACGAGTGGCGCCACCTGGGAGTGGTTAGGGCGAAGTGTGGGGGTTATGGGGCACGTGAGTGCAAGGCGAGGGCAAGGCGAGCCAGGCGCAGCAGCAGGTCGTGTGGGGCGAGCAGAAGAGGGCCCTTGAAGGCTGCCATGGCGTTGGGTGATGCTAGTGGCGCCACCAGGGTGGGGGGTGAGAGGGGGAAGTTTGAGTCGACTGAGACGTCACCTCAGGCTACGATGGTACGGCATCGTTGGGTGCTGCTAGCGGATCCACCTGGGAGCGGGTGAAGGGAAGGTTTGAATCGACTCAGAAGTCACCTCGGGCCCAGCAGGTCGTCAAGTGTGGCCAGGTGAGGGTCCTTGAAGGCTGCTACGAAGGTGGATGCCACTAGTGACGCCACCGGGAGGGGGTGGTTGTGGAGGGCGTTGGGGTCATGGGGCATGTGAGTGCAAGGCGAGGTGAGTGCAAGGCGAGGTGAGTGCAAGGCGAGGTGAGCGCAAGGCGAGGTTAGTGCAAGGCGAGGTGAGCGCAAGGCGAGGTGAGTGCAAGGCGAGGTGAGCGCAAGGCGAGGTGCGCGCAAGGCGAGGTGAGCGCAAGGCGAGGTGAGCGCAAGGCGAGGTGAGTGCAAGGCGAGGTGAGCGCAAGGCGAGGTGAGTGCAAGGCGAGGTGAGCGCAAGGCGAGGTGAGTGCAAGGCGAGGTGAGCGCAAGGCGAGGTGAGTGCAAGGCGAGGTGAGCGCAAGGCGAGGTGAGTGCAAGGCGAGGTGAGCGCAAGGCGAGGTGAGTGCAAGGCGAGGTGAGCGCAAGGCGAGGTGAGTGCAAGGCGAGGTGAGCGCAAGGCGTGGTGAGCGCAAGGCGAGGTGAGTGCAAGGCGAGGTGAGCGCAAGGCGAGGTGAGTGCAAGGCGAGGTGAGTGCAAGGCGAGGTGAGCACAAGGCGAGGTGAGTGCAAGGCGAGGTGAGTGCAAGGCGAGGTGAGCGCAAGGCGAGGTGAGTGCAAGGCGAGGTGAGCGCAAGGCGAGGTGAGTGCAAGGCGAGGTGAGCGCAAGGCGAGGTGAGTGCAAGGCGAGGTGAGCGCAAGGCGAGGTGAGTGCAAGGCGAGGTGGGATGATTGATACCCATGATTGCATTTGAAGCCACATTGGTTTTCAGTTACATGTGACTATAAAATGATTTTTCTAGTTGATTTTACTGTTGAGAATTCTCAAAAGATCTTTGTACCCAGTTTTCTAGGTTGATCTGGCTGTCCTCTGTCACGTAGATGGGCTTGCGCGCCGTGATGACCACCAGCACCAGCATGCCGAAGCTGCCACAAAGAACATGGAAAGGGGCCATGCGAGAAATCTTTGGCAGGTGATGGACCCTCAAAATGATGGATATATTTGGCATGTGATGAGAGATATGTGGCAGGTGATGAGATATGTGGTATGTGATGAGATATGTGGCAGGTGATGAGATATGTGGCAGGTGATGAGATATGTGGCAGGTGATGAGATATGTGGTATGTGATGAGATATGTGGTATGTGATGAGATATGTGGTATGTGATGAGATATGTGGTATGTGATGAGATATCTGGTATGTGATGAGATATGTGGTATGTGATGAGATATGTGGTATGTGATGAGATATGTGGTATGTGATGAGATATGTGGTATGTGATGAGATATGTGGTATGTGATGAGATATGTGGTATGTGATGAGATATGTGGTATGTGATGAGATATGTGGTATGTGATGAGATATGTGGTATGTGATGAGATATGTGGCATGTGATGAGATATGTGGCAGGTGATGAGATATGTGGCAGGTGATGAGATATGTGGCATGTGATGAGATATGTGGCAGGTGATGAGATATGTGGCAGGTGATGAGATGTGTGGCATGTGATGAGATGTGTGGCATGTGATGAGATGCGTGGCATGTGATGAGATATGTGGCATGTGATGAGATATGTGGCATGTGATGAGATATGTGGCATGTGATGAGATATGTGGCATGTGATGAGATATGTGGCATGTGATGAGATATGTGGCAGGTGATGAGATATGTGGCATGTGATGAGATATGTGGCATGTGATGAGATGTGTGGCATGTGATGAGATATGTGGCATGTGATGAGATATGTGGCAGGTGATGAGATATGTGGCAGGTGATGAGATATGTGGCATGTGATGAGATATGTGGCATGTGATGAGATATGTGGCATGTGATGAGATATGTGGCATGTGATGAGATATGTGGCATGTGATGAGATATGTGGCAGGTGATGAGATATGTGGCATGTGATGAGATGTGTGGCATGTGATGAGATATGTGGCATGTGATGAGATATGTGGCATGTGATGAGATATGTGGCATGTGATGAGATATGTGGTATGTGATGAGATATGTGGCAGGTGATGAGATATGTGGCAGGTGATGAGATGTGTGGCATGTGATGAGATGTGTGGCATGTGATGAGATGTGTGGCATGTGATGAGATATGTGGCATGTGATGAGATATGTGGCATGTGATGAGATATGTGGCATGTGATGAGATATGTGGCATGTGATGAGATATGTGGCATGTGATGAGATATGTGGCAGGTGATGAGATATGTGGCATGTGATGAGATATGTGGCATGTGATGAGATGTGTGGCATGTGATGAGATATGTGGCATGTGATGAGATATGTGGCAGGTGATGAGATATGTGGCAGGTGATGAGATATGTGGCATGTGATGAGATATGTGGCATGTGATGAGATATGTGGCATGTGATGAGATATGTGGCATGTGATGAGATATGTGGCATGTGATGAGATATGTGGCAGGTGATGAGATATGTGGCATGTGATGAGATATGTGGCATGTGATGAGATATGTGGCATGTGATGAGATATGTGGCATGTGATGAGATGTGTGGCATGTGATGAGATATGTGGCATGTGATGAGATATGTGGCATGTGATGAGATATGTGGCATGTGATGAGATGTGTGGCAGGTGATGAGATATGTGGCATGTGATGAGATATGTGGCATGTGATGGGATGTGTGGCATGTGATGAGATATGTGGCATGTGATGAGATATGTGGCATGTGATGAGATATGTGGCATGTGATGAGATATGTGGCATGTGATGAGATATGTGGCATGTGATGAGATGTGTGGCAGGTGATGAGATATGTGGCATGTGATGAGATATGTGGCATGTGATGAGATGTGTGGCATGTGATGAGATGTGTGGCATGTGATGAGATATGTGGCATGTGATGAGATATGTGGCATGTGATGAGATATGTGGCATGTGATGAGATATGTGGCATGTGATGAGATATGTGGCATGTGATGAGATATGTGGCAGGTGATGAGATATGTGGCAGGTGATGAGATATGTGGCAGGTGATGAGATATGTGGCATGTGATGAGATGTGTGGCATGTGATGAGATATGTGGCATGTGGTGAGATATGTGGCATGTGATGAGATATGTGGCATGTGATGAGATATGTGGCATGTGATGGACCCTGAAAATGGTCTTGAGTGCATGATAGGAAAGGCCCCCATCTAAGCAGCTCGGATGTATGGGTGACATCATATTAGCAGCTCAGGCGCGGAAGGTGAGTGAAGATTTTCATTACATGAACAGAACAGCCTGCCATGAGCTCACTGTTTCACACCCCACCTGTGCACGTCGGCTGCCGGAGAGGCCTTGTGAGAAATGTGGTAAAGGCAGGGTCCACATAGCCCGGTGTGGCATGCTTGCAAGCCTTTCTTGGTCTATAGACAGGACAGCTTGCCATGAGCGCTCTCTCTCACACCCCACCTATGTACGTCGGCGGCCGGAGTGGCCTTGTGAGACATGTTGTAAGCGGGGTCTACATAGCCCGGTTTGCCCATCACTCGAGTGGCTGCCACTGAGGTGCCCTCCCCAAGCCTCAGCCGCTTCTTAGCTGCTCTCGTCAAATCGCGTCTGGGCCTTCACCGAGCGTCGTTCGGGCGATGAGCGTCGCGCATTCCTTCACTCGCCGTACGTTCACTCGCAGTACGTTCACTCACCGTACGTTCACTCACCGTACGTTCACTCGCCGTACGTTCACTCGCCGTACGTTCACTCGCCGTACGTTCACTCGCCGTACGTTCACTCACCGTACGTTCACTCACCGTACGTCCCTCACCGTACGTTCACTCTCCGTACGTTCACTCGCCGTACGTTCACTCGCCGTACGTTCACTCGCCGTACATTCACTCGCCGTACGTTCACTCACCTTGTCCGCGCCACATCCCATTCGTTTCGAATCGGCCGAATCACATGCGGCGCTCCTTTGCAAGCGTAGCTCGCCGTAATCACAAGCCTCTCGCCGTAATCACAAGCCTCTCGCCGTAATCACAAGCCTCTCGCCGTAATCACAAGCCTCTCGCCGTAATCACAAGCCTCTCGCCGTAATCACAAGCCTCTCGCCGTAATCACAAGCCTCTCGCCGTAATCACAAGCCTCTCGCCGTAATCACAAGCCTCTCGCCGTAATCACAAGCCTCTCGTCGTAATCACAAGCCTCTCGTCGTAATCACAAGCCTCTCGCCGTAATCACAAGCCTCTCGCCGTAATCACAAGCCTCTCGCCGTAATCACAAGCCTCTCGCCGTAATCACAAGCCTCTCGCCGTAATCACAAGCCTCTCGCCGTAATCACAAGCCTCTCGCCGTAATCACAAGCCTCTCGTCGTAATCACAAGCCTCTCGTCGTAATCACAAGCCTCTCGTCGTAATCACAAGCCTCCATCTCAAAAATCTGGGCCTTGAAAGTTGTTAGGGTGGTTTGCCACTGCCCTAGTGACTACCGACCTATGCATCAGTCCTAGGGGCGGTAGCGCAACGCTAAGAACGGTGGGAAATAGTGTCCTAAGGTGGGGAACCCACAGCTAGAACGGTGGGACGGAATCCTAAGGAACTATGAGAGGAATGAGCTAGGAAAGAGGAAAAACGGAATGGTGGGAGAGTGGGTTTCGGGAAATGTCAAGACATTTCCGTAACCTAAAATGTCCAACCGCAACCGAACCGTGTTCGGTGCGGAAGGGACAAACGGGTTTCGGTTCCGGTGACGGTTACCGAGTTCGGTTACGCGTGCGACTCGGGCTGAAACGCGGATGACGCGTTACGCGAGGCGCACATTAGAATTCGAAATGCTTAAATGTGTTTGTTTCTCAATCACTTTCTGTGTACTTCTCTGTTTTGAGTGAAATCAGTCTTGGAAAACCAGAATTCTCTCCAAGCACTTACTATCTTCAACGCTAGCCGGAGGCTATACCTAAACTTAGAAAAGTGGCAATTTAGGGCCATAATCACCATGCATATGGCGGTATTATGGCCTGGAATTGTCGGGCTGTACGCAGGTTGCTTCCTAGACGATTGGGGCCCATGAATTGCCCGCCTGTGTATTTGGCAGAGTCGCCATTTACGCCCATTTTCACCTACCTCCCAATGGCTGCTTCATGCCTGCATACGGGGGTAATATGCCTGCTAATTGGCCTGCCAGTGATAGGGTTTCATTGTCGTCCAATAAGAACCCATAGATTGGCTGATTATAAATCATTGTGTTCAGCCCTGGTGTTATGTATGTCAGCCATAAAGCACATTACATTGCTTTGTAATTTATAGCTGTGAATGGATATTCAGGAGTCATAAATTTGAGCTGCTTTTATCATCCTATACATTCAGTTCTGCACTCGGCCATACACCATGGTAAATTATTGGGAAACTGATATTCAAATTAGCAGTTACATTGGGTCACCTAGGGTTAAACCTCCGGCTTCACATCATCCTATGCCTACAGAAGCATATACGCCTTACACTACAGTAGGGTTGACACTACACTAACCCATCAAATGCAGCCTCATATCCTTCAATGAGGATCCTAACTGCTCCGCTGCCCATGACAAATCCTGCAGGAGCTTCGTTCCTGTAGATGTTATCACCTGCTTCCAGTCGGGCCTTGATCCATGCGATGACAACCAAAACCTTAGCAGCTACGGCGGCCCTGTTGTTCTCGTCAGAGGCATCGAGGGAAGTGTTGGGGCGGCCGTTGTGGTTTGCCATTGGCCATTCCACCTGAAAATGACCACGGCATTAGAACATATAGGGCACAAAGGAAACATCAAGCTAAACATCAACACTTACCACGTGGCAGATGGTAGCAACAGCAGGCAACTTGACATTTAGCATGTTGCAGCGTTTCCCGCCAAGTCCCTTGCACAATGAAAGCTCAAAGGAACGGTTGGCGAAGGGCCGGCCTGAGCCGTCACAGTGCCACTTTGAACCATACACAGCTGCCATGCAAAGAAAAACAACAAGTGAGAACTTTGAGGGGGCGGAAACAGGACGCGATTTGACTGAACACAACAAAAACTCACCGTCCAGAAAGTAGGCATGCCACTCCGCAGGCGTCCGTCGACGGGACGGGGCAATGTTCTCACCGGCGAGCATCGCCACCTTATTCTCGCTCACAAACCCGCCGGGACCATGGGCGTAAGGTTTGCTCGCCGAGTAGATGTTGCAGCGGCGCTCCGACATCTTCTGGAACGGGATCCGCTCACGCTCCGGATTGTCAGCCATCACACGGTTGAACATCTCTGCAGGCACCCCCACCTCTTCGTACAGCTCTTGAACCTTGCGCCGAAGGTCTGCAAGGGTAGGGTAAAACGACTGCAGACTCGCTGGCGCGAGCGCAATGAAATAGTTCACTGCCGCGTTGCACTTGAGCTGCAAAAAACGGTGAACGTAAAACAGAGCATCAGCTATCATATCAAAGGTACACGGGGGGGAACATGAGTTCATGTGACGTTTGTTGGGTGGGAAACACTAACCTTGAGAAACGATAGAGTAGCACAGAGGGGATAGTCGTTCCTTCGCGAACGACTGGTGCAAACGCGAGCCCAGGCGCACTGGTGGTCGCCAACAGGTTGCTCCTCTGACTGTTGGACGATGATGGGCCAGGACTACAGGTCGTCGCTGGGGCAGCCGCTGGGGCTGGCGGCTGGCGAGCAGCAACCGCGAGTCACATGCGCGCAGGCCTGCTCCTCAAGCTGCTGACGAAGGGTTGCGACTTCGCCCGCCTGATGCGCGATCGTGCGCTCCATGTCACGGTTGCTGGCCACGGTTTATTTACTGGAAATGGTCGCGCTGCATCCAAGCAATAGAAACCGGTTAGAGTCAAAACAAGATCAGCAACGACGAGGCAACGACGAGGCAAAACACACTGGAAAAAAGTGGGCCACTAGCCACTTACGTGGTGGCTTGGGTTTTTTTCCACGCGGAGCACCAGCAGCGGCTGCACCACCAGCGGCTCCCATAAGATCCGCGATATCGGCGGAGCGCCGACGACTCTCACTACGGCCATCCTCGGTCGGATCCTGCTTATTTGTCTCAGCGAGCTCGATTTCGTCAGGATGGCCGTCGCTCTCGTCCTTCTCCTCCACATCCTCGTCACGCCCTTCAACCTCGTCTATCAACGTGTTAAGGACGTTGTCGTCCTTATCAGGCTCTTGCTCGTTACTAGGATCAGCAGCGTCGTCTGCTGAGGCGGGGGTATTGTTTTGCTCCTCGACGACTGTTTCTGGCGTGCGTGGATGTGAAAGTGACTGCGGTTGAGCACCGTCGCCAAATGAGTTGGAGTGTTGGCGATCCAGCTCCGCGTTCAGCTGATCCCTCAACGCAGCAAGGGCATCACGGGACATTTCTGCGAACCCGGGGTCCGGAGGGGCGTCATTGTTACCAGCAGGTGGGTGACTGCTGGAACCTCCAACATTTTTTAATGGAGGCTTGTAACCGGTTGTATCGTGTCCTTGCAGACGAACTGAAGGCTTAGACGGGCGTCCAGAACGAGAGGTACCCAGAGTATTTTGGGCACGTGCCTGAGCCAGTGCACTGTTGGCAGCCAGTTGGTTTGCCATGCTGATGCGAGGATTGTTGAATGGTTAGGAAGCTGTGTGCGATGATAGCATGATGTCGCAGAAGTAATTTATGCCAACTGTCGATTGGTGAAACAGCTACATCATTGGCTGGTGATAGAGCACTGCGATCAAGCGACGTGGTGCGTTGTCGTGCGTGTCGCATAGATTTGCGCGGTCCAATCAGAGCAACCTGTAAGTGGGTGTCGCGATCGTTTGGCGCCAGATGCGATAGTGGAACGTTGTACGATAGTGCTTGATCAATGAAAATAATGCATCTTGAATTTATAGCTACATGCAATGGGTAGATGATGTTTTGTGTCATCACGTTATGCTTTACATGTTCAACATTGTCTTTCCGTAGCTCGGGTAACGTACATAATGTATATTACAACAGAATATTTAGCTCAAACGAAACATATTCACAGAATAAAGTGGTTCAACAACCACAATGGGTCATCTGCCTTAGGTTGAACAAGATGAACAGCTCGAAGTATGCTAGTCGTCTCGACCACACGGTATCTTTGGGCCAAAACAGCCCACTTCAGTTGCTTGCACTTGGTCATTTCGTCGACCCCGCGTTGTTCTTCGTAGTACTTGATGAACGCATACTCGCCGCGATATCTTCCATGTCCAATGTGAAAGAGGAGCAGGACCTTGCCATACCACTCATCGGCGCCGCCATGGATGGCAACGTCTGAAAACCAACCACGTCCATGAAACACCGACACTGCACGTATGCGGTGTGGGACGTCTCGAAAGGATGGGTCGGTAGCGGGTGGCATTGCCAATTCAGAATGCACATACAAGGTTAGTGCATTCTTTGTCGTCTCTGAAAATCTGTCCAGAGCCTTCCTCAAGTGCGCAATGTCGCCGTCCAATGCCGCTACGTATCGGTCGTCGCGCGTCTTGGAGGGGGTGGGGAAACTTACAAACGGTTGCTCGCGGCGACTGACAAGCACAGTTACAGGCCATGACGTGCGCGACATGGTGCGGTTGCCCGTTGACAACGCCTGCGCGTTAATCACCAAACATGTGTTAGTAATGTATGTGAGTGCGCTCATACTGGGCTTACCAAACGCACACAAACCGTACCTCACGCATTCTGTGTTGTAGTGCGTCTCTTGCACAAACCGTAACTCCGAGATGCTGGCATCGTAATGGATCGGTGGACCAGCACGTCGAATAGCATCGATATAATGACTTATCAAGTGCATCTTGATGAATCTCCACTTTGATGTTTGGTCGAATGCGCTCGTAAGTCGATCAATCATCCTGCAGGTAAAGGGGGAACGTGTTCGTTAGTTAGTGTACGTAAAGTACGCAATGTACGTAGTATAAGTAAGGTACGCAACGAAGGGGACTATATAATGAAAGACATAATGTACGTACCGCACGGCTAACTCGTGTAACCTTCGAAGAGTGACGTCGTTGTAGGTCTTTGGCTTTGCACACTCGGAATACCAACTGAGGTACGAGATGACTGCATCCATTTGAGGCTGACCGATGTGGGTTGACACGAGGAATGGCAGCAGTTGCATCACCGACCGATGCTCGTACGCTTGGTAGGATGCACCTAGACGAAAGTATTGCCCCGATGGCAATCGCAAAGAATCCCACCTACAGGTCGCTTTAAGGTATTTGAGTCTCCTGTTGTTAAAAAGGTGATCACCACAAGTACGGGTAGTTAGGACAACACTGTTCCTTTAACACGATATAGTAAACACATGAACCAATAAGGAGACACACTTGTCGATCGCTTCAAGCACTGTATCGGGAATGAGCCCACGAAGGGCTGTTAGAATGTGATCAAGTATCCCCAAGTCCTCTTGATGCATAAGATCCGGCATGACTGCAAGGTATGGGTTTCCCCATTGTTCCGACTCGAACCTCCACCCCCATAGTGCACACTGCATGAGAAAACGAAGTAATTTGCATAGTAAGCATGTTGTTAGGAAGCACAGCACATGATTCCACAACATTAAGCACCAAGACTCGCTTACCTCGACGGGATGGGTGGAGAGATCTTCCACTCTTGCCTCGCCGCGTCGTCTTGGTGCCTTCAAAGCTGTGCAGATGTCTTGTTGTTGCTGCGCCGTGCGATACTTAATCTGATCCTGGTACTCAGCTAGATCATCCTTATGAACGGTGCACAGTGAGCATGGGTACGTTGTGCCCAATGACTTTGTGCACGTCAACTTACAAGTCTCGGGGTAATCGGCAATGTAAGCGTACAACGCCGGGTACGCGGTGAAGGTATGTCCAGAGGCATCCTCCACTCGAGTGCCCCTGTTTAGGGGAGGTGCGTACCAAAGGGATGTGTTAGACAGGTTGAATCAAGCTACAAGACAGCACAGGGGTCGGGCATTGCCGCCACGAAACAGATTCAAGCACTTACACATGACTAGCCGACTTGAGAAGTTGTAACGCCTTTCCAAGCACCTTCTGAAAGACTTGAAAGCGATCAAGTGAAGTGTACTCTGGTGGAAAATCAGGCAGGAGAGCAATCAACGCATGCCCGTGGGGTTTCCACCGGTCCTCGTTTCGTCCGATGCGAGTATGATGGTCGCGACAACATCATCAGGACCGAGCTTGTCCTGGAGGAGTGGATGGTGGGTTGGGACATGACAGGAACAAGGAATACTAGGTTGAAACTAATAAATCGAACCAGAACAAAAAACAAACGGAAAGGTGTAGGGAACAACGTACCATAACGTTGTTCCAGAATTCTGCAGTTTCGGGTGCATCGTACACTCGCACCCCCCCAACGAGTTTCCGATGGGCCCTTGTGATGAGACCACGAGCGTTGCGAGTGTCTTTTAGACGGGACTTCATGGCCTGAGTGTCACGGGTGGGGGGCCGAGATAAGGGGTGGAAGGGTTGGGGCATGCAGGGATGTTACTAGGCCATACGCATGGGCGGAGAAGGGATGTATGGGATACGGGATGGAAGGGTGTGACAAGGCCCCATGCATCAGGACAAGCATCACAAGTGAGCGTGGAAAAATGAATCCCAGGGGCAGAGAAGGGAATAATGGCGGCTAAGCGCACCATGCACCATGGCAAGCATAAAAAACAGAGAAAAAGGTGAATGCATGGGGCGGAGAAGGGATGTGTGGGCTGGGGGATGAAAGGGTGTGTCAAGGCCCCATGCACCATGCTATAACTGCAGCATGATGCATGGGGCGCCGTGCCATGGGGTGGAATACGGAATGATTCTAGGATAAGCGGACCATGCACCATGGCAAGCATAAAAAACAGAGAAAAGGGTGAATCCGTGGGGCATAGAGGGGATGTGTGGGCTGGGGGATGAAAGGGTGTGTCAAGGCCCCATGCACCATGCTATAGCTGCAGCATGATGCATGGGGCGCCGTGCCATGGGGTGGAATACGGAATGATTCTAGGCTAAGCGGACCATGCACCATGGCAAGCATAAAAAACAGAGAAAAGGGTGAATCCGTGGGGCATAGAGGGGATGTGTGGGCTGGGGGAACAAAGGGTGTGTCAAGGCCCCATGCACCATGCTATAGCTGCAGCATGATGCATGGGGCTGTGAGCCATGGGGTGGATCACGGAATGATTCTAGGCTAAGCGGACCATGCACCATGGCAAGCATAAAAAACAGATAAAAAGGTGAATGCGTGGGGCGGAGAAGGGATGTGTGGGCTGGGGGATGAAAGGGTGTGTCAAGGCCCCATGCACCATGCTATAGCTGCAGCATGATGCATGGGGCTGTGAGCCACTGGGAGGAATGACGATGCTGAGAGGCCCATGCACCGTGCATGACAATGACAAGCACAACTGCAGCATGGCACATCGGGATGACATGCATGACCCGAATGCAAGGGGGGTAATAATTGGCTCACCTTGACAGTGTCACAGTAGTGGTATTTAAGTAACGGCTTCCTTGCAATGCGGCACTCGCCACTTTGCCATGACCGATCGGTGTTTACCGCCTTCGTTGCTACATGCTTGTATATATCCTGCAGACTTTTCCGACCGCAGGCCTCGCCGATTTGACCGCCGCTTTTATTCAGAATGCGCAGAAGGGCCGCCACAGCCCGCTGAGACAGCTTCTCGTTTAAGACCCATCGGCACAGCTCGTCTTCAAATGAAAACGGCGTCGGAGGACTAGGATCCGAAGCTTGTACCGGTTGCGACGATTCCTCAGGCACCGCTGCACGTTCAGGGCAGGATTCCTCAGGCACCGCTGCACGTTCAGGGCACGATTCCTCGGGCTCCGGCTCCGAGTCGGAGCAATCCTCCCACACAGGTCGATCATCGTCGTTGTGTGAAGGTCCCCTCGGTTCATCAAACGAGGGAGGAAAAAGGGGGTCTTCTTGGGCCATTGGACTGAAACTGCTAGGCAGAGCATGAGAAGAAACGAGGAATGAATGAACTATGAATGAATTGGGTACAAGTACTAACCCTAATTGGGTTGTACCCCTTATGGGCTACCCCACTATAGCCTACACAATATGCATGAGCTATGTGTTCTGACACACCCACATAGGCAAAGTGGGGGAGAACAAGGGGTCACAAGACCAGTCAAGCAAAGCAAAGCAAAGCAAGCTCAGGGTGGATCACAAAGTCACCACACATTCCGAGCACAAGTTCAAGGCCACAAGGCCAGTTCACATGCAGGAGTACATATATATAAAAAGGCTAGACAAGCAAGAGCAGGTATATATATATGTAACAGTACAAGCAAGGTCAAGAGGTGAGCAAGTGAGGCAAGGTAGGCACAAGGCCCAACTGAGTACAGAAGCGCTGATGGTCACAAGGCGC